AACTCTGGACTTGCTGATGCAACATTGACAGGTTGTCGGCCAATAGCCGACATAAATCGGGCTGCATTATGCAATCCAACCTGGCTCCACCACTTTAGGCCAGGAGGCGCATCGACGCATCAAGGCGTTGGAACTGCCGCCACCAATCTTTTGGTGCACGAAACTAAAACAGCTTTTTGTGTTGGTGCCCAGACTGGGTCCCGGCTTTCCTGCCCACCAAGCAGTTGACTGTTTTGGTGCCGAAATGCCTTACGCTGGCCATTTATGTATATGGGACTCTTTTAAAACACTTCCTGCTGCCGCCGTGGTTTGGTCAAACGTGGTCGGAATCTAGTCACAAACTGGATTACGAGTGCTCCCCAGAGACATCACACAAGGCACACATGCCTGGAGTTCGGTGTGGTGCCGAAGTTTCCTTCCTTATGTCTCGGATTTGGGTTAGCTAAACATTTTTATTTCACTCTCCTACCTGCTAGCCTACTCTAATATGGGGCACTCTCTACTCGAGCAGTTGTCTTGCAACTGGTTTTTGTAAATTTGGATTCAGTTGGCTTTGTGTTACATCATTTTTTAATTTTGCAAATTCATTAAATATATATGGGCTGTATAAAATCAATACTTAAATAAATTTCTATACAAAATACACATTTCTGGAATGCTTGATACTTTAGTTAGATTTTTCCAAACATTCCGTTGGTTCATTTTGGTTAATTATTTTTTTATTTATTTTCATGTAAAAACTGAAACTAAGTACAAATTCTATATTTCAAGAGATTCCAAGACACTCCGATAAAATATTTATATTTAAAGCAGCAGTTTTGCTCTTTGTCAGAGAGTAAGTTAGAAGAGTATTGCAATTTCCACAATCATTTAACTTCTGGTCATTTTTCACTCTGTGTGCTGCAATTAAAATTTTGTAATATGACGACCAATAAAAAAATAAAAAAAATAACTGTGGCAAGACATTTGGAACGAGCGTAAGCGGTGGCATGGAATGTCTGTTTTGTCGGGCAGCAAATAATTGAAGCGCTTTCAAAATGATTTTCAATTTCACTGCATTATACGAGAGTATACTATACTATAGCATAGGCCTTGCCACCGATTTGTGAATCTAATTTAGTGTGTGTATTTGTGTCTGTGTGTGAGTTTGTGTTTGTGTTTGTGTGCGCGTAATAATTATGCATGTGGCGTATTAAAAGGCCTTAGATAGATTCAAGCAAACCAAATGAAATTGAAAACAAATCGAAAACCCATCACCAACCGAGGGGGGTAAAGCAAAAAAACAATAACCAAATACAAAAACATATCTGTTTAATTTCACTTTCCTTTCCCTAGTTGGTGCAGCGACAGACTGCATTGCATTTCAATTTTGTACAGTTTTTTTGTGTTTGGTTTTTCATTTTTTTGGAGTGGTCTTCAATCGATTGGCATGTTAATTGTTAGTAGTCGGTTCCACAAGGTGTGAGTCGAGTGGAATCAAGTGCCAAGTGGAAATGGGACTCCAACTGGGAACTGGGAACTGGGAAACTGTTAACTATTGACGGTTGACTGTTGACTGTTGACTGTTCGCTGTTAACGGTTAACTGCTGCTAGCCGTAAGCTGTCTGTCACTTACAGGCGAAAGCTAATAATTGTGTGCGTGTGTTTTTCGTTTCGTTTGGTATGGTTCCGTTTTGGGCAAATAATTAAAACTCGATGAGAAGCATTAATGCTACCAAAAATTTCACTGCCAAAAAAAAAAAAGAAAAACCAAAATGTAATTTCATATTACGTGCCTGCCGGATATCGAAATCCGCAATGACGATCGTCTGTCCGCCCCGTATTTACTACTGTACTGACTCACTTCATTTCAAAGATCAACGCGGCGACATGCAGCGAAAGAGCAGTCACGCATTCATTCATTAACATGAATGCGATAAAATTCGTGATCGGGTCAAGAAACTATTTACACTGCATACACGATCTGGGCTTGGCTTAGTCTACTACATATTTACACTCTAATCCCAGTATATTAAATAATGCCTTGATTGTTGGCAAATAAAACTCACATTATTTCAATTTGCATTTCAATTTCAAGCTCCTCGACTCCAACGACTCCTTGTCGCTGTCAATCTCAAGTGCATTTGGTTGTACTCCGTGTAAATGTTGTTGTTGTTGTTATGGTTTTTTTTCTCCGTTTTTTGTGTTGTGTTTCTTTTTTTGTGGGTGCGTTGCGGTTGCTGCCCGCAGCCATCGGGTGAAATTTCATTTTACCATACGACTCGCACAAGCTGGCGTCGAGTGCGCATCTATTTTGACATGACAGTGCATGGAAATTAGTAACAACAGCAACAGCAACAGCAACAATGGCAACAGTGCCATTGCCAACAACAACAACAACGACAACAACAACAGCACTCCGCAGCGTGGACTCGCCTAATGAGCAGAGTACAACGCGGCGTATACTCGATTCCCCATCCGATCAGCAGCTCAGCGCTTGTCCAAGCGCACCTTTCTGGTCATATGCCGCTCTTCATGCCCTAGTGCGTATTGTGTTAAAGTATACCAAGCAACCAAGCAATTAAACAGTGGGCATATGTTTCGATCTATGTTTTTTTAATTTAAATTGCTTTTAAGTGTTTTTAATTAAAATATTGATTAATATCTAACTATACCTGGAGTTCCAAAAAGGACCTTAAAGTGATAAAAGAGGACAATTTTAGTACTTTTTCAGGGAAAAGGAATTATGATAGTCATCTGTCGTCTCATCTTTAAAAAATGTATCAGAAATTTATAAATTTCCCGAAATGTTTTTTACAAAATTGCATTTTCAGATATTATGATAATAGTATTATCCGAAATCGTTAACTTTTCCGTTAAGTTACTTACTAAATTACATTTTCAAAATTTGTTGCTTAATATTCATTTTTGACCTCTCTGTTGAAATAGCTTTGATCATAACCAACACAGCAACAAAGTAAATTTTGTATTTTTTTACAGGGTAGCTGGCAGTCAGAAGGCGTCTGCTGTGCCCATTCTTAATTGTTGATGTTTGTTTGGCGTAAAATGTTTAAAATTGCGCTCTCACTCGGTCATTTGTATTGTTTTTGTTGTTGTTCGTGTTCATGTTCATGTTAATCATACGCTGAATTGCACTTTCAGACACACATACATATGTGTGTGTTAGATAAGAAGGTGTCGTTGCTGCTGCTATCCGGCCGTCCATCCGTCCATCCGTCCGTCCGTTGAGTGACAAGTTGACAAGTGCTTTGCTTTGCTTTGCTTTGCCGATTATGTAAAGTGATTTTCATTATGGTATTAATGCTTTTTGACGCTGATGTCCTCGTTGATGCCGCAAATGTTGTGGCACTCCTCAATTGAATTTCGCTTTGAGGCAGATGCCTCGAGTTGGGCTACCCACACTTTTTGGGGGCAGCAGACGCACTGACACAGTTAGCAAAATACGGCTAGCATAACAATGACAAAAACAATGCGATAAACAGAAACTGAAACAGAAACAGGCAGCTAAGATCAGCTCAATCTCCTTCATCTTTTCTCAGTGCTGGCGGCTGTGCAACCGAGCAGGTTCTCTCGCTGGCGAAATCGTGTTGCTTGCATTTTTTTTTGTTTTTTGATAAACCATAACGATGCAGAAAAGCTGTAGAGCGACGCCGGCAGCGACGTTGGCGCCGGTTGCATAAGCGACACGTAAAGTGGCCGAAATTTGCGAAACGCAGCCCCAGTTGCAATTTCATGCATGCCGTCTCTGAGCACCACCACCACCAACGTCTCTGAGCACCACCACCACCAACAACAACAACAACAACATCAACATCAACCATTAATAACAACAACATCATCAGCAACAAAAATAACCATAACTAAATCAACGACAGCTTCAAGCTCGATATTTACAATTTTGAGGCATCTGGTGGGAAAGTTGATCATCAAACGGAATACGATATAGCAAAAGAAATGAAATATATATTCGCATAAATGTGTGTATTGTATTTTTATTGTAATAACAAGTATTGGGCAAAGCACGAAGGGCAAATATTGGTAACGGTTATTGTAACCGATTTAGGTTTTTGCAAAACATTTGGAAATTGCGCGTGCGTTTTGAGTTATGCACGATATTTGGCGCAATTGGTGTGAATCACAAGCAAACTGCACAAAAAAAAATAAGAATGAAAATTTACCATAAGACAAAAAACAAAACATTTAAAATTACTAATTAAAAACACTAAAAACAGTAATAACTAACGATATTATTATTAATTATAATTATAATAATAATAACAATAAATGATAATATGAACTTCCAAAACACAATTAATTCCAAGACATGTAAATCGAAAACTTTCGAATGCGCGTTTTTAATTTATTAAAGACGCACAAGCGAAATGAAAACAATACAAATTAGTTCAAGTTCAAATGATAAAACACACGCATTGACGCTCTATAAATATATACATACACACACACACACACACACACACAAAAATTCGCATATATTAATAGTTTTAAGGCAGTGGAATAAACTGAAGCTTCATTACGCGCCAGTCGTCAAGCAAAAGCTGTGCAGACGATTGTCAAACTGTGCGCTTGTCAAACTGTGCAGCTTTTGCAAAAACTATAAACACACGCACGTCCACTTTGTTGTTGTTGCTTTTGTTGTTATTGCGGCTGCTGTCGCTCCCACTTCACCGTTCCATCCCCAGCGTCGAGCATCAGACGATGTCTGGCAGCTGAAAAAAGATAAGTTTGTCGGTATTGCAGCGGCGCGTGTTATTATTCAATTGGAATACTAATCGAGAAACAAGAACAAGAAACAAGAAGTCGCCAACTGTTTCCAGTCACTGGAAGTCAACGAGCGCACTACGATCGAACAGAGTTGCCGACGCACCAAAAGCTGAGAAAAATCAAACAAGCAGCGAGTCACACTAGGCACTTGTGCAAGCAGTTGACAAGCCTATTGCCATTGGACTGGAAAACAGGCGCATTACGTGACACTCGCTGGCTGTGCGATCAGTGTGCTTTTGGCCGTCGTCCGATCACGTAGAACATTTCTAGCAGTCGTTGTCTTTTCATACGTTTCCACAGGTGGGTGTGTATTGCTTTCTTTTTTTTTTTTTTTTTTTACCCGACTGGGAGATATTACATAATATGATACTAATATGGATTATTTGGATTTTAGTTCATCATGTCGCTACGCATTGTGTCCCAGTCGCTGGTGAATGCTTGGAGCCAGACCCTGGTCCGTGGCATGGCCACCCAGGGTAGCTCCAAGAACATCGGCTTCGTCGGCCTGGGCAACATGGGCGGCCACATGGTCAGCAATCTGATAAAGGCCGGCCACAAGTTGCACGTCTTCGACATCTCCAAGCCCGCCTGCGACAATATGAAGGCCAAGGGTGCCACTGTTTACACGAAGACCACCGAGTTGGCTCAGAATTCGGATTTCGTGATCACCATGCTGCCCAATAATGATATTGTGGATGCTTCGTATGAGGAGATGACCGCTAACGGTGTCAATAAGAACACCATCTTCATTGACTCCTCCACCATTGACCCAGTGTTGGTGAAGTCGCTGCAGAAGCGCATCAGTGCCAAAGGTGCCCGGTTTATTGATGCACCCGTCTCGGGTGGTGTTCCCGGTGCCGAGCAGGCCACGTTGACTTTTATGGTCGGCGGCACGACTGACGAATACAATGCAGTTAAGGCGGTGCTCGAGTGCATGGGCAAGCGGATCACCCACTGTGGTGACTATGGCATGGGTCAAGCAGCCAAGTTGGCCAACAACATGATGCTCGCCATCTCCATGATTGGTGTCTCCGAGGCCATGAATCTGGCCATTCGTCTAGGCCTCAATCCGAAGACTTTCGCTGAGATTATCAATTCCTCCACGGGTCGTTGCTGGGCCTCCGAACTTTATAATCCGGTGCCCGGCATTTCGCCCACGGCTCCGGCTAACAATTCGTACAAAGGCGGCTTTTCCACTGATTTGATTACGAAGGATTTGGGTCTGGCATCGGGTGTGGCCACCTCATCCAATACGCCCATTCCCATGGGTGCACTGGCCCATCAAATCTATCGCACACTCAAGTCCCAGGGCTTGGGCGGCAAGGACTTCTCCGTTGTCTATGACTTCATGAAGAACGAGAAGAACTAAGCAGCTGCCACCCACCCCCCAAACAAATAGAGGCTTTTAAGTGGCTTCTACCCAACCAGTTTTGCATTTATAGCCTTATCTAAGATAAGCAAATCCATCCCATCTGGGATATGATACCGACTCTTAAGGCTTCCTGTGTTTTGAATTTGACTTTGACTTGCATTTTCTATATATAAAGATATATATATATATATGTATATGAGCATTTTCTATCGCTATGCTTTAGTGGCTTACAGTATATATTAAAAAAATGTGTTTACTTAACTATACATATATCTTTTTGTCTGGCTTCGATTGCGTAACAAACTGGCAAATTAATCGTCTTCGAGGGGAATTGGCTTCTGATAAGCAAACAGCTGCTTGGATTTTAGTTGGGTCTTGCTCTACGACCGACCCCCCCAAGCAATGCAAATTTATTTTCCAGCACGAGTCGCGAGCTTTCCAATTGGAAACATGTGGAAGCGAAAGCGATTGTTCGCCATTTACAAGTAAACAGAATTCTGAGCAAAACAAACGGCAATAAAGCAATAAACCAAAAAAGCTTACAGCGCACCAAGTAACTGAAAGCTAACAGTTTGGGAGTCAGAACTTTTACAGTTTGACATCCAGCAAAGAAAAAAGCTTTTGCTTGGTGAATTTGAGCGAAATCCAAAAATATTTTTGTATTGTATTTGGTTGTCATATTTTGAAAAATAACAAACTTAACTTAGGTGCTATTAATTAATATTAATAATTGGGCATTTTTTTCATTCATTATATATGTATGTATATAAAAACTTTGTTACTGGAGTATAAAATAGTTTAACTATCTAAATGTTTGTCATGCATTTCTCGGAGTTTGGAGTTTTCAATTGCAAATTTCATGGTATTCCTATACACAGTTATGCATTTAGTAGGTAGGTATTCGAAAATGTTTGGAACAATTTGTCGCAGATGAAATAATTACAATAAATAGATAAATACATCTATCATATGGTTAGCTATATAGTATATAGAAAGGTATGCATATAAAAAGCCTTAAATAATCGAGGGCAATAAATTTATAAGTACATAAATACATTCATATCGTAGGGGAACTTCTGAAGTAAAAGTATATGTATATATATATATATATAATAATAAGGTATTTATGTTTGTAAGTAGATTTTGGATAAGCCACATAGTATGTCTAGTTGCAATTCTTTGAAAATATCACAAATTGAAATATACAATAAATAATTAACAATACTCATATAAGATTGCAAAGGAATTGCTCGGTTAGCATTTTGGTAGATTGTTGGTAAATACAAATAGATGTTCAAAAATAATTTTAGGTACACGCACTGGATATATATACATATAAATAAATATACATATATATGTAAGTATAAAGTACAATATGCTGTTGTTGCTGTTGCTGTTGATGTTGTTGTTGTTGGTTTTGGTTTTGGTGTGTATTTACAGAACTGGCGCCAATTCTGGTTTCAGTGTATCTATCAAGTGTAAATAGTTTGATTCGCTTTCTTACTAAGTTAGAGAGTTAAAGATATCCTGAAATACTTTTTAAGTTAAGTTCTTAAGTCAAGCAAAACTTTGGTGCATAAGTTGAGTTACATTTCATGATGGAACTTTGTCTGGTGCCGAAAATTGCATCTCTAATATCTATATGTATAATATACTTAAATGGACTTATCGCCTTGGCTCAGACTGAGGCTCTTCGCCTGCCCGAACTTCTGCTTCAGCTGATTTGTATTGGCGCGGAAGCGTGTCGTCATCTGCTGCATCAGATGCTGTGGACCAGTAGTTGCGCTATGTTGCAGCGACCCCATTGCCGCATCAGCGCTGCATATAGACTATGAGCCTTTCAGTTTCTTTTTCGGATTATTCCGCGCCTGATCTGTGGGCGCCGACGGTGGCAGCTCCCTGTATTGATTCTGCAACAAAAAAAAAGGTTAGCAATGATTCAATACCAATCACTTTCTAGTCACAATTGATGTCTGATGTATGGCTTATGTATTTCTTAATAGATTTCTTTCACTTACAATCTCCTCGTTGTCTGGAACGCGCGATAGGAAGTCGAGCAGCTCGTTGTTCGGTATGGTATTGGGTCGCAGTATTCTACGCGAGAACTTCATTAGGCCCCAGAAGAGGAGCAGCCAGCGAAGCGGCACAAAATGCAGCACAAATATTGCGCCCAGCAGCAGCACCACCGCCAGCCAGGTTAATTCGGGGACGGAAAAGTTAAAGGTGCTAAAATGGATAAAATGAGAAATTTAACTGAGTTGATAACTTCCGTAATGAACCCTACTTGATGGTGCTCTCGGCTAGGGAGGCCAAATAGCCGATGGTATTTTGTACGGTCTGTGAGACCTCCGATATGGCCTGCAGGCGCTCCTTAATTGACTTCTTCTCCTCCTTCTCCTTGTCATCATCGTCATCCTCATCATACTCGTAGTCATAGTGGCCAGCATTCGCATCTGTGGTACCGGTGATCAATCTTATTAGCCATTTTCTGCAATTGCATATAGATTAGCAAGGTTATTTAATAAGTTCATATTGTAGTCCATAGAGTATTGGTAAGGTTTTACTTCTGGAAATGATTTGTGGATAATTATAATTCTTAATTTAAATAACATATCTGATAGTAAACGATTTCTTGCAAGCAATTTCAATAGAATATTCAGAAATACTATTATACTATTCAGTATGATAAGTATGAAAATACAAATAGTAAACTGCACTAATCCCAGATTCTTGTTACAATTCTAACTGCAAATTAATCCATTATCTAAAATATCTAATTATCGAGCAATCCCTGTTCGCATACTTACTTTAGAATGATTAGGAGCAGCACTAGCGGCACTGTCTCCAAATCTCCATAGACACAGGCAACGACCCACAGCACAAAGGCAATGCTCGAACGCACCGGCGACTCCCACTCAAAGGAGCTCCTATGGGGGAGAATATTAGAGAGTTAGTCACTGCCACAAGTGTTTACTTGGGGAGGGGGACTACTTACTGCACATAACGCGCTGCATCCAGTATGTCCATAATAATCTCCTTGAGGCGATTGACATTGCGCAGGAAGAGTTGCCGCTTGAACTTCGCCTCCTGCTGTATGAGTTTCTCCTCCTTGGGCTGCAGGGCGCGACAGATGGCACGCACCTCATTCCAGACGACGGTGAGCTCCAATTGGATTTGTGGTGAGTTGCCTTTGGCACGCACGCAGAGATTCTTATCCTTGAGGGTGTACCAGCGCTTAATGCCGCTCTTGATGCGCAGCAGCGGAATTACCAGCTTGCCAAGGAATTCCACACGATGATCGCGATCCTCATCATAGACTGTGACCTCCAGCACCTGTGTTATGTCCTTGACATTACTGTGAAGCAACAGGAATTGAGTAAGTTTTTCAATGTTTATTTACAGCTTTGACTAGGAACCTACAAGGTAAAGATCTTGTTCCATTTGGGCATCAGTGTTTTATACTCAGTCTGCGTCTGCAGCCGAGCATTGCCCAGTTCCAGCACACAGAAGGGATCCGATTTGCCGCCAATGTCAGCAGCAGCGAGACCAGTGGCACCAAATACCTTCACCGTCAGATGACCCACATCTCGAAGATTCTGCAAGCTGCGCAGGAAACGATAGCGATCTCGCAACTGTTGCGTCTCGCGTGGATCCTCCTTGAAGGCCTTTAAATCGCTGATGGTCTCCAGAGCTGTGGTGCCGCTAATGGTGAGCATGAGGAAGACCTCACCAGAGCAATCCTCCAGTGGCTTCCAGATGCCGTGCGTTGTCTCGCGCTGAAATACGCTCAGATCAATGTTGGCCTTGCCATAAAGCGTATTGCGATTCCAAAGTGCCAGCTCCAGATTCTGATCCTCATCGAACAGATGCAAATCGAATTGCTCCAGCCAGCGATCCGTCCAGGAAGACTTGCTCTTGTACTTCTCATTGCCCAGCCTGTAAATGAAAATGAAGTCATTTATTGAAAAATTAAACGGATGCCGGCTTAGCCCGGCAGAAATTAAACAGAATTCCGTACAAAATTTGTTAAAAGGATGGAATAGGTGCTGTCAGATCTGTGTTCGTTTCAAAAACAACCGATTATTATTGGAAAAGGTTAATCACACCTGTGATTCGTCAGTGATTCATCTAACACTTTTACAAACTTATTTACTACTTATTCATCTAACACTTTTACAAACTTATTTACTACTTAAAGAAAACTTTAGTTCAAAGTGCAGCTTCCATTTCTTCCCTTCGCTTAGGCAACCTAGGCAACAGAGTGTCGACAGTTTACTCAACTGTTTGCTCACCTGAATTTGAAGTGTGTGTCACTCAGTTTGCTGCCATCTTCGGCTAGTGGCAGCTCTTTGACCTTGACCAGCAGTATTGTCACCACAGAGCTCCATATCTGGGACTTAAGCCGCTTTGATGACTCGGCCAATTTAGAGTTGCGTTGAAAGTGCTGTAACAAACAAAAATGGGAAACTTCAATTGCACAGCTCGTTGGCACAATAAAGAAAAAATCTGGAGTTAACCTCCATTAGCTCCTCGCAGCACTGGTCCACTTGCTGCCATGCCTGGCTATGATGGTGCCGCAAACGCTTGAGCAATATGCGGTAAATTGGACCAGACCTGCTCATAATCCGCTTAAGCAGCACAAACTAAAGATTCCCACTTGGCATTCGAAGCAACTCGCAATGACTAAAGCCATTTCATTGGCGTTCAGTTCGCTCTCTATGCGAACGAATGCCGATAACCTTGAACCGGGCATATACAACTGTAGACACACTTTGCCACGCTGTCTACCGCTCAAGCTGTGACTGAGGCGCTGATAACAATTGATGTCAAGCCACATAGACCCCAAACAATGTAAGGTGAAGTCGATTGTCGCCTGTAAGCAACCAGGCCGATTCGCTATTTAATTTATGTGCATATGTTGTAAGTTCTTTTAACGACAAACAGCTAACTAAATAATGAAATTCTAAAAAAAAAAACACTTTACCTTTAATTAAAATAAAATCAAAAAATATATTTCCCCCTCGAAGAGAATTAAGATTAAGATTACCCTGAGTATAACATGTGCATTTTATTTCATTCGAGTTAGAACGGGTTGGTTTTTTTTATATACGCAATATCTGCTAAATATGCTCACATTTGTAGTTGATAAGTTGATTAGACTCTGAGATACAGCAATATTATGTTTTAAGAAATAATTTTTAAATATACGAACAAAGTTCTTAAAATTTGTTATACTTATCAGAAATAGATTTCGCAATAATAGAAAATATTCCCAAAAAGTAGAAATACAACCTGCAGCTTTAACAGCACTAGCTGGTTGAGATACTAATACTTAATAATTAAATAATTAACAAAAATTGGTGTAAGAATTTACATATAAAAAACAACACCTTTTAGAAAGCCAACCGGAACTTTCTGAATAATAAATTGAGTTAACCTTGTGTCCAAAAGTACAGCGATATTCTAAATTACAGTCCAAATTTCAAGCTGAGTGAAAGAATTTAAAACAAGAATGCCAACGTAATTAATAATTTAAATATTTTCTTGTATTAAATTGAGTACATTGTCAGCTAAATAAATTTATACACATATTTAATGTTTGTGACAAATACACAGCAGCATACTAAATTTGAGCTGAATTCATATACTCATCAGAGTATTAAGCCATTGCTGTGCAGCAATTAACTAATTTCGCTTTTCAAGCAAACTGTGTTTGCTTTGTGATTCGGGGTATTTTCCCTTTTCCCTTTGTCATTGTTACCTTTGCCTCATTGTTGCCTCAGTTGAGCGCTTTACTTGTTACTGCAAAGAGCAGACGGCAACAGCAGCGATCAAAGCAGCGCCGCAATGGGTGGTGTTTGTGGGAGGGGGAAGATGGAGAGGAGCTCACCCAAACAATAAGCAAGCTGAAGCAAGTTAATCAGCGAACATGTGGTGCAGTGGGAGGCGGGAACGGGAAATGAACTGAGCATAGTTGGAGTCGCTTACTCAGCGAGTTTTTGTCAGTGCTAATTGAGCGAGAGGCGCCAACTCGCTCAAGAGCTGAGAGTAGACTCATAAATCTGTGCGCAATCGGAAGTTAAACTCTTCAAACAGTCGAATTTTGTAACAATTAAGAATGACAGAACAATGTGTTGGGAAAAAGGGAAAGGTCGCACAGCCGGAAGTTGACTGACTGAAGCTGAGCAGCAATGTATCTCAATCTGTGAGTTAGACTGGTATCTTGATTAATTTATCGTTGACTAATATGTGCAATATTGAATTAAATGTGACAATTAACCACATTAATTGAAAGTGAGAACATACCATTTCCTTGTCTTCCTGGCTGCGCGGCCACAGCGTCAGATTTATGAGTATCTCGCCCATACTGAGGCCCGGCTCACCGTTATTCGAATCGCTCAGCTGCAGATTGATATCTTCCGCCTTGCCCAGCTCCAGTTGGGTGAGATCGATTTTGGCCGAGCCCATGAAATCATCCTGCAGTCCCCAATCGTAGTCAAAGACCTAAATGGAATTGTGGTGCCAACAAAAAGGAAATTGATTTCGGTTAGCTGCTGTTTGCATTTGAGTGAATGTGAAACAATTTGCCCAATTGAATGTCATGCTGGCAATTATTGCCCCTGTTGATGCTGAAACTGTTGTTCTATTCGTTTGCGTTCCCATTGGGAAATTGATTTTCACTTTAGGCGACGAGGTGCGATTTTTAATTCAACTACGACTTTTCGATTATTTACGATTACTTTATTTATTCTCCTTCCTTTTTTTTGTGTGCTTTAATAGTATATAAATGGACAATATTATTTCTTCTTCTTTAACTTTAAAAAGCATTCAGCCGGCTTGAAAATATACGATGACAATTATGCTGACTGTAATCGTAAGTCTAATTTTAAACCTGTTTATTTACAGAATTCATCTTTAATTTACTTTTTTCAATTGTTCTATAAATACTCTATAAATGGCTGATGGCTTTAAGACAGCTAAACTAAACTGAAAAGCATGAAATAAAGATTTTCTGTAAGCTTTTTAAAATTAAAATGGTTTTATTCAGTTTTCTTATTGTGGACTGTAGTTTAATCCAGTTTAGTCTTAAATCTTAACACTCTAAAGCGCAATAAGCCGAAAAAATGTTTTAATAGCTTTAGGTCAACTTTAATTAACTGAAAAATGAAAAAAAAAACAAGATATATTACATTCTTTAAGATCTTATGTCACCTTTTCAAAATGTTTTTTCTCTGGTATTGTATTACATTATAGTACAACCCAGTTGGGTCTTAAAACTGAAAGCCAACTCTGAAGTGTAAAATGTGAAATGCTCTCAAATGAAAATTCATTTCATTTATTAAAAAGAATTTTACGAGCACCGCTTGTGCCGTGTGCTCTACTCACCTTGACCATAATTGTCTGAAATGGGTCCTCCACGGGCACAATGAAGACCTCGTCCCACACGGGATTGAGTTCGCGGTGAATGGTGCGCGACTTGTGCAGCAGGCGTCCGCCCACCTTGAATTTGACATAGGGATCGCTCAGTCCTGGCGCAGAGTAAAAACAACAAATAAACAAATGTAAGTGGACGCCATTCGGGCAGTTCTGACAGGTGCTCGAGGGCAAGGGCGAGGGCGAGGGCGAGGAGGGGGCGAGTCTGAGTTTGAGGCCATTTGGCTTACCATTCTTGTCCATGGCCACCAGGTCGCAGCCAGATTTGAGATGGACGCGCAGCTGAAAGAAGACGAATTGTCGTAATTGTGTCTCCCGCTTGCGGCGCAGCTCATCGGCCTATTTGTTGTGGCATTTGTGATGCGGCAGTGGCAGTGGCAGTGGCAATAACAGTTGTGTGCATCAAGTTTTTGCAGAAAGAAGCGTAAAATAAATATGGAAAAATTCGGTTTAGTTGCGCAGCAAAGCAAAAAATCCAATTGATTAACGCAAATGAAAAAAGGACTAGAAAAAAGCCAACTATATATACCCAAGATTATATACCCTTGCAGATGTTTTATTTTTTTTTTGTTAACAAAAACCCCAAAAAAATATATCTAACTTAAAAAACCGATCGATTATTTAAATAATTTCTGATCTTTTTTTTACCAAAGTACTGGGAGCATATCAAAACTTTATGGCTGGTGAGTTTGGTAAAGTTATTTTGGAACACCAAGAAGATTTTGTATAAAAGAGATCGTATTTTGAACCGCAGTTCCTAAGGGAATTAAATGATATCCGTAACTAAAATAAGAAATGAGAAATATAATGTCGGGTAGGTATCCTTCAGACACTTCCCAGCAAATTGATAATGCCCAATGCAAGAGTAAAGTGATTGCAAAGGAAAAGAGAGGAGGAAGAAATGGGCAATGGCAGTTGGACTCACCTGCAGGGCATCCAGCTGCTGCTGCGGGGTGATTGTGGCTGTGGCATTGCCATTGTTCTCGGGGTGCTCATCGATGCGACCCTCCATGGAGCCGCCGAAGCGTTGAATGACCTGCGCCATTTTGGCTGTGGCACGGAAATCGCGTGCCAGCGGGGAACCAATTGTGGTGGCTCTGTGCCGGGGACTCTGCGTTACGGAGCTGCTCTCGGAGCTGTAGTCGGCGGCATAGTCGGTGCTCTCCTCGAGGAAATCGTTCGGCGATTTGCGGCCGATGCGATCTTTGCTTTTGGCGCGACTCCAGCGATGCCGCAGATTATTGAAGAAGCCGTGCGTCTTTTGCAGCACGCCCGTACCACTGGCCACGCCCGAAACGCTGCTGCCACTGCCACCACCCGTGAGTTGTGGCGAGGCAGCGCTCTTGGCTCGCTTCGGGGATATGTGCGGCGATTCTGGGTTGCTGTGGCAGTCGTGACCATTCAACTCCGAGGCAGACTTGCTCAGATGCCTGCCCAGACGCGGCTGCAGCTGCGGCGAACCATGCGGCGAGATGCCAACACCACTGGGCGGTGATCCACTGGCACTGGCGTCAATGCTGCCCGCGCCGGCCAAACGATTGATGCCAGGAAGCTCCTCCTCCCGCTCCAAATAATGAATGCGAGCTGCAAGTGCAGAAGGGGGAGTCAACAAGAGCGTCTATTAAGGTGAGTGCGTGGCAACTCGCTAATCGATTAAACAAAAATTGGATGCGTTGCGATCCAGCGAACAAAGCATTTATGACTGTGCACCACACACAGCCGCCACATGACATCATTTCTGCTGCTGAGAGAGGGAGAAAGCGGCCTCAGTTCTCTAATTCACTGACAAGCAGCTGGCACAGATCACAGATGTTGTGCCACAGTGGTGCCTCAACTTAAAGCACCACAGAAATTGTTATCAACAAAAGTCAGAAAGCATATACCGTTCTCAATTTTAAATCATAAATCTTAAAGTTACAGTCAATAAAGTTAGATTCATCAGACTTCATTTTGGATTGTTGAAATACTGCTGATAAATTGATAAATACAACTAAAATATTGGCATGTAGATATTAAAAGTTTTGAGCTATTATTCCACCAAGGACAGAGTATTGCACAGTCGTTATATTTCTCACATGTTTTGTGCTTTACCTGCAAATGGAAATATTTTGTTTAACTTGTGGCTCAGCGCAAATACTGCTTGCTTCTGCTGTTTCTTGTGCGACTTTGATTGCATGACATGCATCCGGCAATGGCTCAATAATTAATGCAAGAGCACCCTGCACCAAACGCAGCATAAATTTAGCCCAAACAATATTATTGCATTAGTTTCAAAACACTTCAATAATTCTCACTGAGCACAGACACCAAAATACATATACATATGTTATATATATATATGTAAAAATTATGCAAATGCGCAAAAAAAAAAGGGATTGGCGAGCGTTGAGCGCGCCACGAACTGCACAGGAGCAGTGCTCCTAAAAGACTGCTATGTGGGTTCCTTTTGTAGCTGAGAAGGTTGGCATTTGGTATTGTTAGCGCCATCTATAGGTCACACAAACACTTCACAAATATTGTATCAAGTGGTGCTGTGTGTGTGTGTGTGTGTGTGTGTGTGTGTGTGTGTGTGTGTGTGTGTGTGTGTGTGTGTGTGTTTGTGTGTGTGTGTGTGTATGGCTTTGTGTGTGTGTGTGTGTGTGTGCTTTGTATTTGGCATTGAACTCGAGCAACCCACTCGTGTGTGTGTGTGTGTGTGTGTGTATGTGTGTGTGTGTGTGTGTGTGTGTGTGTGTGTGTGTGTGTGTGTGTGTGTGTGTATGTGTGTGTGTGTGTGTGTGTGTGTGTGTGTGTGTGTGTGTGTGTGTGTGTGTGGGTGGTGTATGCCGCGGGATGTTGGGACTATGCTGTTTTTGCGGCTGTTGGCTGTTGCATTATTAATGCTGCATGCTGCGCTGCTGCTGCATGCCAAATTTTCAACAAGAGCGCCATAAACTGGAGGCTCGCACAAAGTTGCAGCATGCTAGTTAACTGTGTTTGTGTGTGTGTCTGTCTGTCAGTGTGTGTGTGTGTGTGTGTCTGTGTGAGGGAGCTTTACGCATTCCACCAAAAGCTTTACAAAAATACAGCTGCCCCTGCGGCATTTGCTATTATGAATGAAAATCTTTTTACAAATGTCGAGCATTGCATTTTATTATGTATGTAAATTATATTTACATATTCATAAATACATACACATAAATATACACGCAGTTATGTTATTTTGGCATTGGCACATGTGCCTTAAAGGACGGACAAGCAAAGGGCGCAGATTTCTCGCTGATTTTACATAATCAAACAAAAATGCCAAGCTGCCAAGGACAACATTTAATTACATTCAAACTTGTGTCCTTTCACAACAACAACAACAGCCTACAACAATTGAAGGGAAAAAAACAACAGAGAGCTTTTTTATGTTTGGCTCTAGATTTTAATTAATTTAATGCACGGGGTGGGTAGCCAAGGTGTGTGTGCGCTCCCAAGTAAATACTTATTGTATTTATCATTGTTATTTCATTTACCATAAAACGCTCCCCGTCGAGCAGACGGCCACTTGGGACTTGTTTTCAGCCAACTTCGCGTATTTATAGAGCATTAATACTGTATTAGACGACAGTTGAGCACATGTTGAACAGCACTGGACACATGTTCACATATTTACGACAGCAGTGTAAATAGTTTGCAAATATGTTGCATAATTTAGGGCGCTTCATTAAAATTGAATATGCATGAGTTAAAGGAGTGTTTTAGGGAAAAATTCACGTTCACATCATATTTATAAATATTGTAAGTGCAATTCAGATCATAGAAAACGAAACTTGTAAGTGTTCCTACAGGACTATAATCGAGCAAATTTTATTTATTATCATTATTTGTCTAAAGATATAAAAGATCAAAGGTTGTGAACAGTGGCAATGCCATTATTTTGAGCACAACTTGTATGAATATACTTTAAATAAATAAATAATATTCATCAAAATGCTCGTTGCTCGATTTGAAGAGCCAACATAAAAAAGACTGTAAGTAGTATAGACAGCAAATGGAGTGTGTGCACACACACACACACACATGCACACTCCATAGACATATTAAATTAAGTTTTAACATCAGAATCTGAAAATCAATAAGGGAAATATGTAACTACCTGGAGAAGCACTCTCGGTTGTAGCGCTCTCGTTAAATTTGCAACTCTTGACAGCAATTTGCCAACTTTCAACGTTAAGCGCCAAAGTTGTAGCCATTTTTCAGCTCATTTTGGCAGTTACAACTTTTGCCTGGCCAGACCAGACTTGGCGATTAGCACACATAAGCAACATGGCCGGGATTAAGTTGACAAAAGTGGACAAATGGCCAAAACTCAACTGGCGAATGGTAAATGACAACTGGAAGCAGGAAAATGGCGTCTCGGAATTTTATGACCGTCAGCTAAATAATGTCAATACAGAGCAGCATCTTGTCCAATTTAATGAGTTTCCCTTTTTTTATGACTCTGTATTTGATTTGAGCTGCATGAATGATACCATAAAAGCGAAAGAGACCATTTTGTTGCAAATGCTGCATGGGGAATAAATACACTGTTTGCTGACCCAACTATGGTAAATGGATATTTTATTGAATATTTTTCTCTTGACAGTTTTTGCTGATCATGAAAACTGATATCTGTAGTAAGATATTATATTTACCCTTTCTTGAATGGTTGCAGGGCATAAATTAAATTTCAATTGCTTTTTTATTGGTCCGATGGCGAAGTCAGCTACAGAAGGTAAAGGATACCATCATTACTGGAGTCATATAAAAAACGGGGACTCATATCTAAATCGAAATTACTGAAGCAATCAAGTAATGCAACTGCCAGCGGCACTGCCTCCCACACATGCCCCACACTCGAACAGGATTATCAATTTCGCATCGGTTTGGAGACATGTGCAATATGTCCTTTATTATTACATTTCATATAGGTCCTGTTTTAGTTGGTTTTTACTGTTGCTTTAGTCAATAAATCAAGTCCGAGGTCACTAATCAATTATTTAGTAACTGATACTCGAGGCGATATGAGTGAATTTGAGTGTGTGTGGGTGTGGGTAGATGTGTGGGGTTGTGTGGGGTTGTGTATGCTATACACGAGCCAAAAACACTTTTAGCCTTTATTATTAATTTGCTGCTGTTGCTCACCTGTTGAGGCAAACATTCTGTTGTTGTTGCTGTTGCTATCGTTAGATGTTTGTTTGGCTATTGGAGGGGTTGGTGCGGGGTGAGCTGCTTTTGTATTCAGTTTGTCGTTTAGCTTCTGGATGTTTATATGCCCTTTTGTTATTTTTTTATGTTCGCATTGGTTTGGTATTTTTATTTTGCTTTCTATTTGTTTGGTGGTTCTCACAGTTATTGTGCCTTTTGCAGCAGATGACGTCATCTGGCGGCGTTGCTTGGCTGTGATTGTTGTTGCCCCAAACGGCGTCTCCAACTGGCGTCATGCGGCTGTCTAGCAACGCACAAAGCTCGTCGCGTTGCCTGTAATGCTATCGTTGCCGTTGTTTTTGCTAATGATTCTTGTTATATCCTAGACACAAGGAAGTGGCAGTGGGGTATACCCCACGAGACTATATATTTACATGACAGCCCAATATGTTGAATTTTCCCATTTACAAACATTGTTAAACGATGGCTATTAAAAACCTGAAAAAGCCTGAGATTTTATTTTGTTTGGATTTTGGATTGAGTTCAGAATGTCTTCAATGCATATATAGATATCAATATTTATATGTAACGTTCCTTGTTAAGAACAGAATTTGTTGTATCCTTACATTATATATATTATTATTATTTATGTTTATTTGAATCATGGAATATGCATCAACTGAATACAGTTTTTTATATTTAATATTTTTTGACAACATTTCTAATACCACAAATTCATGTCACATTAAGTTGTTTGACAGTTTACTTAACTTGTATGATTTAATGCCAGACAAAAATCATTCTTCACCTATATTTCAATGGTTGTTCCAATTGTTTCTTATTGTTGTTTTTGGTGTTTTACTTTGCATGTTTGGCAATCACGCAAACCTATTTTATAGCTCTTATCAAATGTGCATTTATTGCTGTTCCATTTCCCTGGGAATTCAAATACTTTTTGCGGTTTCCTTTTAGTGGTTTTTGAATAAAATTATTTGAGCTGTGTTTTTTAATGACATTTCTTTTGTGAATTGTTCACTAATCGTGATACAACCAAAGTTGAACTGCGTGTGTGTATTTTGTATTTATTTATTTTTTTATTTTTTGTTTAATCTGAAAATGTTGAGAAGCATTTTCACAAACAAATGTTTCAGATATTTTATTCGGCTGTTTGCCATATGGAAGCAGACTGCTATTCATATTTATGATGCTATCTTGTAAGATATTAACACACTACGAAGCTCATGTATTTGCCAACTTTTGGCTAAGACAAAAAAGGCAAACAAGCAGCCCAGAAAAGTTACCCGAAATTTTTGGCTCTGTTTGGATAAAATGGAATATTGTTATTTTCCACTTTTGCTGTCATGTGCTGCGTAAATGATTTTCGCTTCTGCCTTGTCGCGTCGTGAATAATTCATGGCAAATTTCGTTGATGGTTTCAGCTGTTTTGTCTTGGAAAAGAGATAAAGAGATACACTTTTTCCTATATTATTTTTGCCCACAAGCTTACTAAACTCTGCAGAAAACATTTACGCGCAAATAGCTACAATTTTCAATGCGTGCAACAAAAGTTTTCAGAGATCACACTACGAAATACACAACAGTTGCAACACATCGCGGCAAGTCGGCGTGGCAAACATGGCGTGCAAATGTTAATTACCAAAACAAGAGCAGCGTAGACATATAGGAGTGCAAAGTCCCGAATTCAAAATAGAAGAAGGGGGCATATACGTAATGTGAATATGCTGTGCACTCTGATCGGTTCGAATGGGCTACTCGAATATTCTCGCGCCGTTCGAACTGTGGAAATGTAGTAAAACCAGTTTAATCAAAGGCAATAAATCAAATACCAGCAGCTTATAGCATTGTTATGAAATTTAGTAATGCGAGTCTAAAGAATATTTCGTGGGAATATTTTATGAATTATCTAAATATATATGTGCATCAGTCTTGTCTTTAGGTTTTTGTATACTATGACAAGTGAGAATGCACTTGTTGAAAGAGCTGACTAGGAGATATACTGAATACACTTATATATATACGAAAACTTTTAAGACACAAATATCTAGAAGCTGTAAAATGCCATACACATTTTTACGCTGTGTTTCTTATCAGATTTTTATGAAATTTTTACAGCTGATGAATAATCTGTCAAGGTATATATCAATTGGAATCCGCTGCCATTTAAATTTTGGATTTTATTGCTAACGGAAATCGATGTGTATCGATATGCCAGTCGACTAAATAAAATAAACTTGATCTGTGAGTGGTATACGAGAATTTATATTCCAAATTTTAAGTCTCAAACTCAAATAGAAAATCCGCGTTTTTTTATATAGACGGACAGACGGATAATACTATATCGGCACGGGAATTGATTCTGATTAAAAATCTACATATACTTTATGGGATCAGAGAAGCTTCATTCCGAGTGATACATACCTTTGCATCAGTATACAAATTTATCTAATCGGACCTAAAACGCATGCGAAAAGCATATTCAATTGTAAATCAGATTTAATATAAAAAAGAAAATGATCAAAAACTCGATTTTTCAATAGCGAAATGCAATTTTCGACTTTTCTAATTTCTAGATGTTATTTCTAGTTGGCAGCAGTTGGAGTTCTGCGTTTTTGTAACAAAATGTTTTAAACAAATAATTCCCATTTGTTGCCCTAAGCAGTTGACATTCAGTTTACAAATAGCTTACTGTTTATTCAGTTGCCACTTGCAATTTGCCACTTGCTGGTTGTAGCTGACTTTGTCAGCGCTTTTGCACAGGAAAGTTGTAATTATTTTTTGTGACATTTGGCCAAAAGTATCGCTCAAAGAGTTAATTAAAACAAGAACCAAGTATTGTCCCACTTGTCACCAGAGTCCATTAACTGTCACGTCTGTCAGGCTGCTTAAATATACAGCTTAAAGCAAGTATGTGCACTTAAGTTGATCCATTATCCTGTGCCACTCGTAACTAATTAAGCCCTTAATGCTTAACCTTCAACTTTGAGTTTATTGCGCTTATTTGGTGGCAGGCGACCCTTGAGTTGCTGAGGTTTTTAAGTGCAGCGATTTTCATGGCTTATTTTGTGCTGACCAACTTAATTAACGCCTGCAACTGATTAACAATGCAGTGATTATGTTTTCGTACTCATATCACAGGCTTTTATGACAGGGCTTAAGCACAACTTATTTTGCTTACTCATCAGCGAGTAAGTTCTGACAAGTATTTAAGGCACGGATAGCTACACTTAGCGAAACAAAGCTTAAGTTTGAAAAATGTGATTTAATGCATAATGGATCGCATCTGTTTAAAAAAAGAGAGAGAGCGAGAGAGAAAGACATTTAAAGATTTCCACAAACTCTCAAGAAAGTATGGCATCAAGTACATTTACATTTGTGCTATATTTACATAACTCTCTACACAAATTTCACTTGGCATGTATTTTATGTGTTTGTCTAAGGCCCATACTTTAGATTTGTTTGCTTGAACAAATACTTGTGAATGTTATTAATAAGCTTGTCTCTTTTGCTTGTTACAATTTGGCAATTTGGAAGCAAATTTTGCGTGTGTGTGTGTGTGCGTGTGTGTGTGTGAATGGGTTGCAATTTCAATCAGTAGACAGCATCAGCAGACGACGCCAAGTTCATGGGGTCTAGCTGTGGGGCAGACATGCTGCGCAGCATAGACAGCGGGGCAGCCACAGCGGGACAAATAAAGACACCTCGAGGTCACAGCTGCGTCCCCTCCACCTCCCCGCTATTGCAAGCACAGCAAGCCGCTGACTGTTCAAATGAGCGCATAAGTACCAGCAAAAAATAAATAAATAAAGAAAACAAGTCGCCAAAGCTAATGTCGCAATTTATTTGCGCTCTGCGACACATGCGACAAACGGTCGCAAGGGCCGCGAGCAATAATTAAAAAATATCAAGTCAAATGACACGCGACAACTACGAGTACCAAAAAAAAAGGCTGGGGGCGTAGAGGTGATATACATATGTTGCATACACATTAGGCACAGCAAATGATGGTCATTTAAGCACCGTCAGCTCACTCTCCTCTATGGATATATGCGCGTGTGTGTATGTGTGTGTTTGTGTGTGTGAAGCGGAAGCGGAAACGCAGCGGCATGCAAAAGCGCCATAACCCCATGATGAACAACATCCGTGTAGTCGTACATGGAAATGCCTGTGAGGTAAACCCTTCAAAGGACTCGCAAAAAAAAAAAAAAAAAATATATAAAAAAAAGAGTATTTCAATATTTTTAGCTTATAAGAAAATATATTCATGTTGATAAAAACAAGGTTTTTTTGGTATTTGAAAAAGTAAAGCGAGGATTAATTTGTTATTTTATTTATTTATTGATTAACTAATTAAGCTTGAAGATTTGGTATACAAATTTAATGATTCTTGACAACAAAAATATATGCTTTAGAAGACCAAAGAAAAAAGGTGTAGAAAAAAGAATGTGTTAAAAATGATACTATGTATATATAACATACGAAATTTAACGTATCAAAACTTTTAGCTGATTGCAATCATTTTGCAAACTCTTGAGCCACTCTCGTGCCGCAAAATTTATGCGCGAACTAATTTAGTCCAAGCAGCGCATAAAAATAGACCACAGTAATGTGTGGCAGCATGCTAAACAGCCCCAACCACAGCCGCAACCAAGCACTCAAGTGCGGCTCAAAGTTTAGAGCCCAGCTACAAACAGAGACAAGTCAAGTGCTGCCCGGGCTGGGGCCTAAAGGATAACGGATGGCAAGGTGCGAGGTGCACTGTGACGCCAACATCTAAGTAAGCTGCTTAAAATGTATATATATATAAATATATATGCATACATAGATAACTGAACGTGTGAATACGCAGAGCAGCTGTTGGGCGGAAGAGCAGAGGGCAGGACATGCTTTGAACCCGTTACACTTTCTGCCAGGCTGGGATGCTTTTCAACACCTTTTTAGGGTCGAAAGCTGTTTATCAAATTTTGAAATAGCGGAAAACAACATTTTTTTTTTGCATGTGTGTGTGAATTTTTTTCTTTTTGCTCATTACTTACGCATGTTTAGTGGCCACGTGTGTGAGAGTGAGTGTGAGTGAGTGTGTGTGTGCTCACAGGCACGCGAGCAGGCACCAATACAAGTGAACTACGATTTTTGGAGGCATATGCGGGATGGGGAATACCCCGCTACGCCAGCTTTTAGTTGTTTGCTGCGCGTTCGTTCGTTGCTCACTGGTTACATCGACACATTTCTTTAGGTCCTCGGGCTGGTCCTCATACTCTTCCTGCTTCTGCTCCTGCTCCGCTTGAATTTCGATTAGCTTTTTGCACTGCTAAATATGCTGGCTGTGATTTTAAATACTAGCCACGGACACAAACACACACTCGCTCGCAAACAATATTTGTAACTAATTGCATTACAGCTGCTATGTTGCAACGGCTGTCCCGTTATCCTGCAGGCAGCAGCAGCTTTGCACAACACACGCGAGATGAACGACGCTTTCGCTGAATTACTTTCACACTGCTGCGCGCTTACTTTGGTATCGGCATCAGCTCCGACGCATCCGCTAACGTGGAGAGTTTTTGCGCAACTGAAATTTCGTTCAGAGCTTTCGGGCGTTCGCTCACTTCGAAAGCTCTCTCGACATTTGTTTCTGCTGAGAGACAATTGAGTGCGTTGCCGAACGCCTTGAGTGGTTCTGTTACTGGCTGGTGACTGATGGTCGGTAATAATTGGCGGCACAACAAGATGAGCCAAAGCTTATACCCTTGACTAACGGCGCTGTGGCAGGTGAGTGAATGTTACGCTTAATTAAACATTTTGCTTTCATTAGAAAAAACGAGACAGATTATTAAAGTCAAACTCAATCTATTTTTTTTTATATTTCAGTACTTTACACGCCTACGCTTGGATTTATTTTTTTTAAACATTTTTCTAACTTGTGTTTAACTGTGTGCACTATTCCAAGCATCCGCTTGAGCTTTCCACTCAACCCAAGGGTCATGTTTTGACAACGCTCCAGTAAATTCGAGCCAAAGTAAAAACCCAGTAGCGAAAAGACCCCATGACGAATTCGATTCGATCTATATGGTTTTACATACACAACCCAAATTACGTTTTCATGCTGCATTACATTGTTATGTCGAAAGCTTTCTTATGCGTTTGACTAGCACGCATACTTTGTGTGAGGGGTTGTAAACGGAATAATATACGAGTCCACATACGAAAATATATATATTGTAATGCAACTGTTGTGGTATATACATATATGTAGTTATATATATATTCAAAATATAGCAAATTTACTACTATACAATTTGATGATTTATTCTAGAATTTAGAACCATTTTAAATATAAACATTAAAATATATTTGATTTATTTATTCATTTGTTTAAATTTAGGAAAAGCAAGGTGTCGCCAGCACAATAATAGAAAGAGATGGTAGAACAGATAAGAAGCCTACACTTATAAGCAATATGTAATATGACATTGGCGCACAGCTTTTGAAGACAAGTTTGTGCTTGACTTAGAAGCCCCAGCATACTACTCTGCATACAGAAGTACAACCAGGTAATGAATTAAATAGTTTGCATACATAATGCATTCGGTAATAAGAAACCATTCACTAATTCGGTGCTGAGACGTGTGCTACACCCGAAAATTTGATTGCTGAACGCAGCGGAATTAATCTACAATTTACCTCTCTTTGTGCTGTGCGCACTGAGAGCAGCTTGGGCCCATTGTAATTAGATCGAAAGAGATGCTGGCGTTGCTCTTGGCTGCTCTGTGCTCTTCGATAACAGCTGATAACGACAATCGGCCGTGTTGATCGCTGAACAACCGGCTCGAGGGCGCTCGGCACATGTTGGCTTGATCCGTTGGTCAGTCACTCGGGAGTTGTGCAGCCGTTCGTTGGTCTACTTGGACATTCTGATTTAGTGCTTACTTAAAAACACACACACACATATCATTATTCTTTATTATTATTAAAGAAACAAAAGTATTGCTTAAATACTGGTTTGCAGAATAACACTGATTAATAGAAAGTGCAACAAACCACAAAGCATCTGTTCTTCGTCAAAGTGCAAGAAAGAGTGCGAAAAAGAGAGACCGGTAAGTCATGCTTTTTAATCGGCTCTGCGCTTTGTGCGGCTGCTTTTTGTGCGCCATTTAATCTGTTGCGACCGTTATCTCAATGTGTAGGCGGCAGAGACGGAGCGACGGGCTCTTTTCCTCCTGCGTTCAACGTCGCAGTTAGTTTTTGCGCCTTGCACTTGTTACTTTCGCGATGCACCGCTTACATTCATCTGCTCTTTCTCTTTCTCGCACTGCCATCTCTTCATTGCCCACAATTTATGTATGTTCTTGTCTGTGCCTCTGTTTCTGTTTGTGCTTCTGTGGTTGTGCCTGTGTGTACGTGTTTATGTGCGTGTGTGCAGTCGTTGATTTTGCATACAGTTTTCGATACACTTTGATCCCGCCAATAAATTTTTGATAATTGTATTATTTTTGTTATTAAATTTTTCGTTTTTCATTCACTTTTTTTTCGTGTATTTGTCGATGCAATAAGCGCTATAAATATCAAATTAAATGCCATGCATATGTAAATGTTTATAATAATTATATTTGTAAAATATTATCGCAAATAATTTGAAATGCTGGGCAACATTTGTCAGTTTAGAAGCTGAGAAACTAAAACTGCTGGGAAGCAAAGGTGTGGCTGTAAATATTCTTGTATATAAGCTCGAATAACCAGATATAAATCAATTTGTTTGTCTTACCTTTATGCCTTTATCGAGGGCATTATGATTTTGTCTGTTAATGTGTAATGTGTAATGAAGACGATATTCTTGTAACAGTTAATGGAAGTAGTATTCCTATATATCATATAGTCACACTTATAAATAATCAGTCGAAAACTTATATTTTGTAAGAAAACAAAATATTATATTATGTATTGTGCTTTAGATAACGAATATTGCTCATCTGGTATTTAATCTTTGGCAGCCCCAAGTTGTATTTTTTTAGCTATCACCAAGCAGAATTAATTGAAAACTATTCAGAGTATTCCCTGTTCTAGAGCAAAGTACACAAATATAAATGTATGTATATATGTACGTACTTATTTATTTATACGTATATTACCTAATTTGTTTTGATTTTTGTTGTTAGTCACACAATTTATACAGATAGCCTAAATTAGTTTTGCCAGACAGCCGCCAAAAGCATGTGCAACAACAAATTCGAGTTGAAGTGTATAAAAAGTGCGATGCGATGAAACCAGATGATAATACGAATATTAGTATATATGTATATACATATATATGTATGTACTAATGTACATATGTATGTCTGTCTGTAGGTGGTGGCATTGAGGTGCCGCGATGTCAGACGGTGTCAGCTTCGGAATTATAGTAGCTACACTCACTTATAAGTAAAAGTATAGGTCGTTTTTGGGGTTGTCAGTGCCTAATCACGTTGCAAATGCTGCTTGAGCTCGATTTGTACCTGTACGATCTGTGATAATCCCGAAATGTACGCCAAACATATATTTGAGTACAGTAAGCGTTAATTTTCATATTTTTTAAATACTTTGTAATAACTATAAAGTTGGCATTGAGATATCAATCCATTGTGGACAGGGTATATCATCATAACAAACTTGTTATATCAGAGAATATAAATCTGTTCACCTGTGAAGCTGGTTTCGAGAAATTTATAAAAAGAGCTTAAACTTAAAAAACGAAATAATTAAATAAAGAGATATACTCACCTATGCGAACGACGCTATTTAATATTCAAGCTATCCCTGTTTTGTTAAAATACGTCTATGTTTACAAAATAGCAATAAAAATTGCTCATTAATCCAGCGCATTTAATTGTGATAGCATCCGCAGCAGCAGCAACAGCAGCATCATCATCTTCGACAGCATGGCACAGAAGACGGCAGAGGCAGAGGCCAAAGATCAACATACGCAGCGCGATCATATCGACGATGATGAAGTCACCGAACTTCAGAGCCCGGCCAGCTTCTATGAGAAGGTGCGTGAGCAGGCCGAAAGATTCGCCAGCACCCGATTGGGCCAATTGGTCATTGAGCGTGTCGATCGCGGCCTGAAGTTAATCGAGGATACGACCAAATGGAGTCTACCACAGGGTATGCCATATTAACTTTTACAAAATTGTGCTGAATTTTAGAAATTCTTCATATTTTTAATACGGAAAGTTGTCTTTTTAAGAACCAGTGTTTTTCCTTTCTTAATTCCAGGGAAAAATGTTCTATTTCTAAAAAAAATATAACATTTTTCTAGAAGGGTACCACTATCCATATATTTTTGGCTTACTGTCCTAAATAAATCAACTTTTTAGAAAGCCCATTTGCAGTTATTATTATAGTCCCGAGATTTACACTTATTTTCTCCCTACCACAGATAAGAATTCGAGTGCCGTTGTACTGGAGCGTCCGTTGCCCTGGGCTCCATTTCTGCTGCTAATCATCCTGCTGCGCCTGGTGCGCATCTGGCTCTCTGTGGGCGCCCTGATGATCGGCGACGGACCAGTGGCGCCAACGGACATGATATACTTTATACAGACGCGTCGTCACAAGCTGCGCGCCATACGCGTCCATGGCTTGCGGGTGATGCGAAATCGCCAGCAGGAGATGTCCCCCGGCAAGAGTTTCACCCAGAAGTTGAGTCTGTGGTTCAATCGCGCCATCTGTCGACCGGGCGTGCAGCGGGAAAACAGCGGAAGGGCATTCAATATGCACAGCTCGGATCAACAGGTGGGTGCCATCCAAATCAAGCTACAACATTCGTGAACTAAACTTGCTACAATCTCAATCTCAAATTAATAAGCCGGCAAATCAGAGCGTGACGAAGCGATCGCTTGAGGATGAGTCGAATGAGGATGACAATTTGACCATCGATGAGATGTTGGCCAAATATGCCAACCAGAACTCCGAGGATGATTCCGATTTTGTTCCCAGTGAAGAGAAAGACAGCGGCAGCAGCAGCAGCAACACGAGCGACGGCGACAGCGACAGCCACACAAGCGAACTGATGACCAGCAGCGAGGAGCAGCAATTGGTCGAGAACGTAAGCTAATTGTAAATTAATTAATTCTATATCAAATATCTATATATATGTATATATATAACTCTAATGACAGCGCGATAAGATTTTGGCAGAAATGAGCAACAAGGAAAATCCGGAAAAGCCGATTACTGTCAATGGCAGCAATGGCAGCAGCGAGCAGGCGGAACTTGGTAATGGACACTGAAATGTTCTTAATATTTAGATACACATACACAAGCACACACAAACACACACACACACAAACACATACACGTCCCCTTTCCCTTGCACACTCTATTCCGCTCTCTTCTCACTCCCTGTCTCTGTATGCACACACCTAGGTGCTAAGTCTAGTTTAAATTGAAAGTATCGATTAACGATTTAAGCGATAACAATTTAAGTCTAAACGTTTTTTTTTTTTTGGAAGCTGAAACGAAATGCGATAAACTGAAATACAGAAATAATTGTGCCAAAAAAAAAGAAGCTAGTTATTCATTTTTGATTTTTGTGCCCCCCCCCCCCACAAAAAAAAAAAAAAAAAAACAACAACAAATTCCAGATTTACCCAGATTAAATAAATTTGTATTGAGTTTTTGGCCAAAATACTGCCCTGACGCCGTCTGTCTCTTTCTCTCTTTCTATCTCTTTCTGTTTCCTGGTTTATTTATTAGTCCCAGCAGCACATCTCAGGGCATCGAAAGTTAAAGCGGAGCAATGGAAATCGTCGCCAGGTCATCTCAGCGCCGCCTTGATGAAAACGCAGATGTATAATAATATAACTGCCGCAGGTAACTCGAGAGTGTTGCATGTGCCTCAATTGCTTTAAACATTATTATTAACATTATTAACGTTAGTATTTTGCCTATTTTTCTGTTACTCTGTGCATATGTTCAAACACAACAGCCAATCCTGAATCCACAAGCAATTCCACTCCATACACCACCTCCCAGCCCGACTCTGATCCTGATCCCTCAACGGATAACGATAACGATAACGATAACAATACTGACGACACGGACAGCAGCAGCACGATCACTGTCTGCCAGCAACAGCAGCAGCCACAGCCACAGCCACAGCTGCCACAGCAAACAGAAGACCACAATGCAACCACAACTACGATATCTGACATATGCAATCCTAACCCAGATCATCCCACTGTTGAAACCCTAACGCCCGCTACATCCTCTGAAGATATTTTCTATAGTCCCATCGGTTGGTTCACACTCCTTGACTCTAACCTTATTACAATTAATGAAAAATCAACTACTCAACTAACATATTTAAGCAAAATTTTATCACATATTCTGACATAGCTGACATAGCTAAAATCAAAATAATACATTCTAAATCTGCCGCATGTCTGTAAGGGTATTTAATACTCCGCATTGCGAAGAGATTTTGTCCTACTCCTGATTTCTTTTCGTTACTTAAATGAATACTTATGCTGTTCTACAGGTTCGCCCAACAATTTCAACAGCAGTCTTGGCACCCAGGCCCTTCTGAAGAGCGCTGCCATTAATGCGGCTCCCTGTAAGTAGCTTTAATTTAATTTCCAGTCAACTTCAATGCTTTAATCTTTTCATTTTCAAGCGGCTACAGTTCATTCTACACCCAACTCTGAGCTGGATGAAATACATTCAGCTGGCTCTGAAACGGAGGAAGCAGCCAGGCAGAGCATCTATCAGGCCGACCAACAGGACACCCATCCAGCGGGCAAACCATTCAAGCAACAACAGCAGCGCCAATTCAATCATTCTCATCAGCGTTTCCGTGGACGCAACCGACGCTAAGCCGACTGCTCTCCCATCCCAAAGTGCATTTTCTTTTTAATACTATATCCTACTATGCTTGCCTTATACACTCGTTACACTTCTACTATTGTTAGTAATATTTGAGTAAATCTTTTGAAATTTATCTGCTTTGCATGCTGCTGGTTTATTATATATACAATATTTTTTGCTCGCCATTTAATGGAGAATTGATTTAATCATAGTTGAAATCCCCATTTTTGTAATCAATTGAATATTAGATCCGACCGAGCTGTATCAATAATTATGACGAATTCTCGACAACTGGCTCAAATTTGAAGCGAATGTCGCCATGCGGTGAGAGGATAATGCTGCTCTCGTACTGCAATGGCTTCTTGCCCAGCCAGCTGATCCTGTAGTTTCGCAGCAGACGCACTAAAAGCGTCTCCAGCTCCATTGCGGCAATACGTTTGCCAATGCAGGTGCGTGGACCAAAGCCAAAGGGCAGATACACAAACGGATTACGAGAGCGCGCCTCCGGGCACGCAGCTATATCTGAATCCAAGTCTTGCTTGAGCCAACGTTCCGGGAGAAATTCTGCACTCTTTGCGAAATACTCCTCGCTATTCGAGAGCTCCATGACACCCATCAGCACACCAGTGCCGCGTGGCACGCGATAACCGGATAGCACCAGATCCTTGCTGGTAACGCGAAAGTTTCCCGGCGTTATAGGCGTAATCCTCAAAGCCTCCTTGATACAGGCACGTAGATAGGGCATATTTTTCGTATTCTCTTCGGTTAGAGAATCATTCGCTTTAGGTAGAATGTGGAACAGTTCGCGACGCAGCTGCCCTTGCTTCACGGGGTTGGATGCGATATTATAGAGTATGGTCACTAAAGCCGACGAAGTCTGCAAGAGCGGATAAGAAATGAATATATAAGGACTCATCACTAGTAGTATTATCTTTTACCGTATCCATGCCAGCCATTAACATATCCATGGCCATAGCGACAGCCACCCGTTTATTCAAAGCCAACAACTGCTGCAGCACGCATGTATTGTCACTGTGCCCATCCCGCTCAAAACGATCCATGGCCGCCTCAATATAGTTGATTGTAATCTCTGTTATATTATCGTAGTTCTGCAGAAACCGCTTAAAGCCAGGCATCTGATAATATTGCCAAATCGAGGGCCGCACGTCGTACTTGAAGCTGTCGTTGAAGAAATCAATCATATACTTGGCAAGGCGAATTGCATTTGGATCTGGGTGGTCGGTGAACATGCCCATGCGCGTATTAAGTGCCACATAGCTAATGGATTCAAAGGCCCACATCTTGATCTGGTCTTGAAAATTGCATTTGATAGTATGCGTATGCGGATCACGCAGACTTTCCAATCTATGAAGAAATATGGAATTAGATTGAGGCTAATTTTAGTTTGTGCTAAAAACCTGTCAACAAAGTCTTTGGAAATCTCATCGATTTGTGGCAGATTCTGTTTGACATTCTGCACTTTCATCAGCACCGGATTGACTTTGTTGCGTATGTCCCCCCAGGATTTGCCTTGTCTGTGGGTTAAGGGAAATTAAGTATTAAAAATAATTAAATTCAAGCTGTATTTAATTGTTGATTTAGATTTGTTTAGACCTACTCCGAGACGAGGCCGCCAACGCCACCAAATACGTCGGGGCGATGAACAATACGATAATAAGTGAAGCTCTCGAGGCCTGTGCGTAAGGGCCAAACGCCGTCGTTTCTATAGGTGACCGCAAAATCATTTGGATTATAGGTAAAGATCATATCAGGTTTGCCCAGGCCCGGTACTCTGTATATATCGCCATACCACTCACGCATGCGACGATTCATATCAATAAGATTTGTGTTGTGCAATTTCCCTGCGGGAAAACACATGAGCTAAGTTTGTGGTATTTCCTAATACCTTTACTAGTAGCTCACCGCCTGGCAGAAAGTAGGATAAAAGCCGCCAAGTTCCAGGTCCTGGAATTTCTGCGTAGGGTTTAGCCTGCAGCCAGTCGTCGTCCGAGCGCGTCGGCTTTGTGTCCAATAATTCCAAGAAAGCCTGTGCTTAAGAAAATTTCCCATTGGGTCTGATTGTTTGTAAACAAAGCTCGCTCGCTCTTGCTCTCGTACTCTCAGCTGTTCCACACTCACCTGCTGCTTAAGCTCCCTTCCCAGAGAAAATAGACGCCCAGGCGCCAGCAGTTTTTGCTTGAAAGCACAGTGCTTGTAAAGCTCAAAAGATTTCCACATCGTTAACAGCTTGTGTGTGATGTCAATTAATCTATATTACACGTTTTAGAATAATGTAAAAATATTTTAGACATTTGCGCATGGAGCAACCGAACCCAACGGACTGCGAACTGTGACTGAAGCGCTCGGCAATTAATAGACAATCGAAGAATCAAGGTCATCAAGTCATCAAATAGTTTTATTAAGCCATCTGTTTATAATGCTTGAAGATTTTAACGATAAAGCTTTCGAAATGGTTTGTGACTTAACAAATAACCCTAGAGAGAGAAAGCTTTCCAGCTAAGAACCTTAACCCTAGGCATATGCAGTGTGCAATTTAATGGCACGCTTTAGATCTACTTAAAAAGTTGGAAAATAAATAATACAAAAGTAAAGTATTTATAGTCATGGTTTTTAATACATTTATTCATTGCATGCGTAAAATTGTTTTTGAATTTTAAAATGTTGATTTTTCTTTGGATTCATACAATTTATTGAATTTATTGAATGACGATTTGCTTCATCTGTTTTGTTGTCAATATGTACTCGTATCGTATCGTGTTATGTCATGTACATTGAAAATTTGAATAAGAGTCAAGAGTTGAGAGTTAAAGAAATATACATAGTTTGTTGTTTTGTAAGGTACATTATAGATTAGCAAGTTGTATGCTTATGCATGATATGTATGTATGTTTGTAAGTATGTGGTTTCTTAAAATAAAGACACACATTTAAAATGTAAGTAGACAATACATCAATATATCAATGTCAATGGAGGCGTTAGAGTTGAGTTAAACACTTGATATGTATTTATTTATGTACTATTTATGTAATTGGCGTAGTTAAAGGATAAATGTAACTACTCATCGTTTTCCAATTATATATAATTAATATATACGACTAAATTCAGCACACAAAAACAAACTTGGTATTTTGAATCGGTTTTTGTTTTTTGTTTTTTTTGTTTTTGTTTTCGTCTTCGGTTTCGGTTTCATTGTATAAAAATATAACAAATTATAAACGTTCGTTGTCTCTGCACAAATATATATCATGCTACTTGTAAATGGTTGATTGGTTTTGGTACATTCTTTTTGTTTTATTCTTTCGAAAAGGTAAATCATTGAAAACTCATTCTGCGGAGGACCTTCAGTCTTGTTTTTGTTTGTTCTACTTTTATTTTTTGTGACTTGATATTGCTTTTGTGGTTCAATTGTCATCGTTTTGCATTAAAATCAATTGAAAATTGTTATGCATTAGTTCAGTATGTGAAATTCAAGGTTATAGAACTGTTAAACAATTCTATGTCTATTTTAAGTATTTTAAAATAGTCGTACTAAGCGCTTTTTTCTGTGAGTTCTGTGCTGAAGATCCCTAAGAACTATTACATATAAGAACCAAGGCAATATGCAGAACTAACAAAGTTGTGTTAAGTTTTGAAACGTTGGGTCATCATATATGATTACTATTTGGTATTACACACACATTAATGGATAGTTTTTAAATTAATTTTCGAATTTCGCTTTAGCCTAAGTTAATTGCTCACATTGAGTTGATATTCATTATGTATTTTGTTTGGTATTTCTTCACAAATAGTTTCGAAAGAACATGAAATGTATAAGTCATATAGCTAAATCTTAGTTAAACTGCTATCGGTATGTATACACAGTTATTTTACCTAGCATTATCAATTATTTCTAGGAATAAAAAATAATTGTTGCTAAAAAATGCTTTAAAAAACTTACTCTTTATATAATGTTGGTGCACAATTTAAATATATATTTGATATGTTTTTTTTATTTGAGGCAGTGCATTTAACTAGTAATTTGTCTAAGGACTTGGTATTTTTCATTAAATACTACAGACTAGTTCAAATTCACAAAATGAGACTTGAATGCAATTCTTGCAAAATTATACTAACCGTAATGAATAACCAATTTAATTTTAACTTATCATTTTCTTTACAGCGTATAACATTTAATTGTATATCATATTTTAATATGTAAATGTATATATATATATATATATAGTTACTTATGCATATAGTATATTTAAGCATTTTGCTGATATGTTTTGAGTTCATGGTTGGTTGATTTATTCATTACAATTTTTTGATATGTTACGTTTAGCATCGGTCGGGCGCTAAAACTTGAATAGTTGTTTTTTTTTTCTTGTTGCTTTTTCTTAAATACTTAGCTTGAGTAGCTCCGATATGTATGCGATTTTGATAGATACTAGATATATTTATTTCTATTTATATTTCTATATGTATATGTATATGTAAGTACGATTAGTTGTTGTTGTTTTATGCACACTTTTAATTCAGCCGACGGTTTGTTTTTCCTCGATATTTTTTTTTTTTCGGTTTGCCCAATTCCCCAAAAATTATAATTGGCTGCAGCCGTCCTGCAAAACGCATTTCATTTCAATTTGTTTCTCGCTTATTTGCTATAAAATCACATTTAGTTGCTTAATTAAATTTTAGGCTCTCTCACACACTCGCACACCTTCACACACACACACATACTGACAATGCAACGCAACTTTCGCACATCACGTAGATATTGCTTTTCATTTTTGTGTTCTTATTTTTCAAATTATTTATTTTATATTTTCATCGAATATTCGATATTCTTCAATACATTTTTCACTTGCCAGCTGCATCAGGGAAAATACGCGCAGTTTATTATTTTATTTATTTATTTTGTTTTTTGTATTTTTTTTTTTTTTTTGTATTTATTTGCACATTTTTCTTGCCTTCCATTTTCGTGTTCGCTGCAGTGTAATTCAGCGTTTTGTAGGTTTGGGGTTAAATGGATTTTTTGCGGGAGCCAAAGTTCATATAATTGAACTGTCAGCCAGCTGGCAGACAGCCAGAGAAATATGGTGCTCTGCATTGGAGCAGATACGATTGCAGCAGCCGAGTATTCTGCGTTCTGTGTAAAATTTCGCATCGACTGTTTTTTTTCGCCGTTCATGAAATGCGTCGCAGTGCAAGTGAAGAAATGTTATTGTAGTTGGATTTGGATTTGGTTTTTCTTTTTTCTTTTATTCTTATTAGCCTCTCATATCAGTCCATGTTTCTCAATTGCGTTTACTCCTCGGGCCAGCCGAGGTCCTCGCCAACCAGCTCATAGAAACGTTGATTATACTCGGCGAAGAATTTGCGTAGACGTGACACGACAACAGGATCCACATGTGGATGCTTGCGTCCTTTGGTCTCCCGCAAACACCGATCCCCATTGTCATAGCGCAGGCAATAGAATCCTTTCGTCTCATTAAAGTAGAAATGCTCGCTGCGCACACGATGCTCAATGCCTGCAAAGGAGATCATTTTGGATAATGGGTTAGTTTCTCATATTTTTATATGCACTTATACAGAATGTCTTCCTATGCTCTATACATTTTGTGACTATCTGTTGTCTTAGTTTTACCTTAGTACCGGAGGTAAAAGTTTTGTCATAGTGCACAAACGTCCCCAAGCGCATTTTTATAGAAATCGTAGGTAAACTGTAAACTAAAATCATGTTCCTAATCTCAAGAACAGTATTAACCCATTAACCCCAGTCCACAGTCCAAAACGTAAAACAATTTCTGTTTTTGACAAAGTAAATGGAAAGAAGCTACTAAAAAAGTTAGTAACAGATTATAATAGCTTAAGATGTCGTTAGATAAGTAAAGCTGAAAATAATGAATCAGAAGTGGCAAGGAGCCAAACTGCTTGAAAATGCATTTGAAACTGGGCTTTTACTAATTTTCAAATAAATAAAAAAGCAACTTGTGTCTGGGTAATGCTATCCTTGCCTACGAATTCTATAACTGACTTCTGATTCGTACCCAGAAAGGCCTCTATGCGTTTCAGCTGTGAAAGCGGATCCTCGATGAGTCGATCCCCGTTGACAACGAGCAGCTGTTCGCGCGGAAAGACCTCCAGCCAGCGATGCAAATGCATATGATACATGGATATGCTGAGTGGACGATAAGCCTCGTTGACGGTGCCATTGGGAAAGATAGCGAGCTCCTCGAAGGATCTGCAAGAGAAGAGAACACAAAGTAAGCATATGATGGGAGGCAAGCTGATGGCAATTTGCCGCCACTCACTTGGCAGCCAATTGGGCGGCACTTGGCGTTGGAGTGGGCGTGGTTGTGCCAATTGCCGCACGTCTGGCAGCAGCTCCAAGTGCTCGGCTGCCCGTTAATGTCTCCTTGGCACCCGCTCCGCTGCCCAATGCATTGTCATACTCGTGTGCAGCATGCAGCTTGGCGTACAACGACTTTGGCGTTGGCAATTTGGCTCCATATCCGGAACCGGGTGCACTGCTCTCGGCCAGGGGCAGTATCGCTGTTGCCGCATGGCTACGCAGCTGCGTGTAGTCGGAAATAGCTCTGGTCACGGGCTCACGCACAATCAGCAGCAGTTTAATGCTGGCATTCATGGCACGCACACGTTCCGGCACCTGCAAACGGAACAGAGTATCGTAAGTACGGTAAACGCTCTCCATCAAAATAATTGACATTTCACAAAATGACTAGCATAAGCAGCTAATGAATTTACAGTCTGGCAGAGCAGTTTGCGCTCGCTGCAGCCACTGTGCAGTGAATAATTTAATTTAACTAGAAAATATGACCGCACAATGGCGTCGTCCCCAATCTGCGGCGCAGAGACACGAGGGTGATGGACTACCACATACCCATCATTAAGGTACTTTACATCAATTTAATAATATATCCGATAACATCGCAAATTTAATGTTCGATACTCGGTAGACGATATATTAATAATATATCAATGCTAGCGACCGTTTCTTATATTTTCACAATATTTAAGTTTCTTGTTCTAAATAATGAAATATAAACACAAACAGCTTAAAAGTAAGATCCTTAAGTACAATACTAACTAATCCTCGTGATCCTCTTAGTCCACAACTTGAATTCTAAATTTTGATTGGTTCAGTCAACATATATAAAATAAACCAAAAAAAAATAAAATGTTTGTTTTTCAAACTAAAGATTACGCCAGCTTAAAAGCCACAGAAAATTGGTATACCCCTTGCAACAAATTTGATTGTGTATAGGGCATAAAAAGGCCACCGAGGCGACCAAAATAAAGTTAATCAATTTCAATGGGCGCCCGGCAAAGTATGCAACAAGTGCAGGCGACTGGCAAAAGTTATATCTTGATGAACCAGAAACAAGAAACCAGAACCAGTCGCATCGCGTCGGCCTCTTGTTTAAACTGTGCCAGCAAACGTAGTGAATAAACGTTGCTATATCAACATCTGCATATATATATATCACAGATATAAAGATATACATGCAAGTAGGGTGGGTATTAGCGTCTCCCTCTGGGTGCAGCTGGAGGCGGAAGCACACCGCTGGGATCTCTGCATTATTTATGGGCGCCAGCTAATTTTAAACTGCAAATGCGCCTTGTGCGCAATTTTAAATAAAATACGATTATACAAAAGAGATAGTGACAGGGACAGAGAGAGAGAGAGAGAGAGAAAGCCAGAGACAGAGACAGAGACATATATATATATATAGAGAGAGAGAGAGAGAGAGTGCTGTTCGGACAGTGAATGCTCCCAGTGGGAGACAGTCAGGTTGAAAGCTACCTCGCATCCTATTTTGTTTGCTCCCCGAGCGTATGTCAATAAATATTAATCATGACATTAATGAAGATTTAACAAATGCAACGATACCAAAGAGGGTCAGCTACAGCTACAGCTCTGTTACAAATTGAAGGCATAAGCTGTATGAATTATTGCATTGGCATGACAACCAAAAAGCGAGCAGCTGCTCCGCGTTGACTTTTCAGCACTTATCGTCCCTGCTCGCAGCTGGAAGCTTCAATTTCACTGACACATGCAACTTCCGGCTCAACCAGCAAATTGCATCAGCTCCAGAGGCACTCTGCGGGCAACAGGCGGAAAAAACAACTACAGAAAAAACAAATACCTGTACCCTAAAAATAAACAAACGAATTCTTTGCTGCAAGTGTGCTTGCCTGAAAGATATCCCGTAGTTTGCTTGAATAAAATTAATATATTTTTTTTTTTGCAAAATAAAAATTAATCTTTGCAGATGTCTGATATTTTTTAATTATACACAAAGGAAAAAACGGGTCATTAAAACCACGACTGAACTTAAGAACTGAGCAATGAACTGGAGATTTTAATGTATTATATATAGTATCAATCTTCAAGCAATCCGTCTGTAAATGTGTCAAGCTTTTTGATATATCATACATTAAGGTATATAGGGTATTGCAAACTATAATGAAAATAAACTCTGACAAAATTGGAGAACTTGTGTGGACATGCAGAAATGTTCTGTGTTTGATGACGCCGTTTGGCAAATGAATTTGCAACCATTTCCGTTCCCAAAATTGGTTGGATACCGACACGGTCTCTAAACTAGAAATACGGAAATTGGCAATGAAGCAAGCAGACAGACAGATAAAAAGACAGAGAGCGACAGAGAGAGAGAGAGAGAGAGAAAGGGGAGATATCCCTCATTGTGAATCTAAAACATTTTGGTTTAATTTGATAGATGTCAATCCAGTGTGTTTGTCTGTGGGGTAAATGTAGATATATAGAGAAGTACTAGTAGTGGCCAGTTAATCATTAATTAGGGCCCGTCAAGTACAGCGGACAAGCCTAATTGCCAATTACAACATCAAAGTGAGACCAAAATGTAAAATTGGGTAAGGGGTGTGTGGTTTTCAATGTTAGTTGGCTGGAAGACTCACCTCGGGCGAGACGAAGTAACTGGGACTCTTCTCGATGGTAATCTGTCCCCGAAACGAGTGGGGCATCTTCTTACGATACCAGTCGAGGCCCTTCAGGTAATTCTCATCCCGGTCAAAGAAGTGCACCTCACCGCCAGCTTTTTGGATGCGCGGATGCAGATAGAGCATCTCCAGCAGAGCTCGAGTGCCGCACTTGCGTACGCCAATTATCAGGGCCTGAAATTGAAGTGCAAATGCAAATGGCAGCAATTATAAATTTTGCAAGGATGTTGTGTAATTTGAAAGAGCGCTGGCATTTTACTCACCTGGGGCAGGCGTCTGCTCGTCTTGGGGAAATGGACGCGGCTGGAGGGAAAGACCATGGGATGACTTAGCTGATTCGAGCTAGCAACCGGCTTAACAAAAACGGGCAAGTGATTGGCATTTAAAGTGCCACCAGCAAAGGAAGAAGCAGCAGCAGCAGCAGCAGCTGATGATGATGATGATGATGACGATGAGGAGAACGATGATGAGGCCGAGGCGGATGCGGCCAAGGAAAGGCGATGACGTTCGTGCACCGCCTGTGCTGCTTGTATGTTGTAAACCGCGCTGTCGTACAGCACATGGAACGTGAGAAACAGTGAGATCAGCATAACCGTTAGAAAGACAACGGCCAGCTTTGGACGGGAGACGCCAACAACCAGAATGCAATCCGTGTGCGAAGCATCTGTGCCCACTGGACGCATCGCTGACTTGGGCAGCCAGCTGAAACGAGAATGGGCAGTCCATTAGAGGTACAGTAATTGTCACTGGAAAACTTATCTAACTTAAATCAAAGACCACAGAGATAACAAAGTAGTTCTTGTACAATATAATATTTAAGATACAATTTCTAAAATTGCAATTGAAATTTAAATAAAAAAGAAAATTAAAATTAAACTAAATCTAAAAATAATTAGAGTAATGTTAAAACTTAATAATTTACATGGGGAGTTCTTAAAAAGAGTGGAATTTTCCTAAAACCAAAAATTAGCATTGATAAATACACAGTAATTGGCTGTCAAGGAATTCAATCAATGATCTTAAAGTCAGTAAGCAATCTCCAGCAATAATTAAGCATTCATCGAATATATAGAAAATGAGTGATTCCCAAATTATAATTACTTATAGATTGGAATCGCATTTAAAAGCAAAAGAGTTGCGGCCAGCATTAAAATAGCTTCATAGCTTCATTTATGTTTGTGGTCGTCCTGTGCTCAATTAATCTAATGGACGCCCACTTTCAATAGGAGACGGCTGTCGCTAAGCTAATTAGATTGCTGCTGAGTAATTAAAGTGGCAGCCCAAACGACAAGCAGCCAAAGTCGAAGCCGAAGCCGAAGCCGCCAACTCGATGCCGATGACTCACTAAGGCTACCACCACCCTTCCCCCAAATTAAAAGAAGTAAAACTGTTGCTGAAATTAGCGGAGCGACACATGACCAGAAATGCGGACTGTCTTCACCTGAGCGCCTGTACCTTGTCAGCTCTTAACCGAATACCATTATAAGCGTTTCCGCTTAGACCACCCAACTAGCACGGACGTCACAAAAACTGGGCAAAACTAACTGCAGCAGCGCACACGTGGCGTATACGTTACGTAACATGGACGATGTCGTCGTCTAATGGATGACTTCATTTGCAGCATGCCGCCGCAATAGAGACGCCGCTAGTCAGACGATGTCTAAGTGCATTTATGTTTGCATTTCTGGAGCAGGCGTAAGAGTTGAGGGAGAGGGTGTAGTGGAGGGAGGGAAACAACAGGCTGTTGGCTGTTAATAGTTGGTAGTTGGCAGCTGGCAGCTGGCGTTCCATCCTGTTGGCCGAGTTTCGCCAGCGACACCTCATTAAAAGTAACGACACAGCAGCTGCAGCTTGGAGCCAGTTCCACAAGGAGTCCCTCGCACACACACACACACACACACACACACACACACACACACACACACACACATACACACTTCAAAGAGTTGGCGTCTCTCTTTCTCTCCCGGCATAGACGACCCGTGACTGCGGAATGCTTAAGGTTTTCTATTTGCAGCACACACACACACACACACACACACACTCACTCATACAGTCTCGACTGGCCTCGTTTCACGCCCCTTTTTTGCTTGCCACTTGACTTGGCATCTGCATAAACGCAACGCTTCCCTTTCAGTGTTATGTTATTGTTGTTCCTGTCGTGTTGTTATTATAGTCCTTGCTGTTGTTGTTGTTACAGCTGCTGTTGCTGCTGCTGCTGTCACGCATTCAAAACTGACATACCTCATGCTCCTTTATCCCCTCACCTCAACCCCTTTAAACAGGTTGTCATGCCGCCCTGCAGGCAGCTTAAGAGCTTGAAAATCCCAGCCAATTCGCTGGCACGCGGCTTAAAGACTTTGCCAAAAACCCCTCAACACTGACGCAATGCTTAACAATTGCAGCTCGTGTAATTAATATGGCCACTTCTTACACTTCTTACATTTATCTCTCCGTCGACTTGGCTGCACATTAAATATGATTTGTGGCGCTTCTTAATTAATACTGAAAAATGTATGTGACTTTTCTCGTAATTTCTTTAGAGTTGCAAGCAATTAAAGTTTGGGGTAGTTAAGCATAGCTGTAACATTTGTATGTTACCCTGTTGCGGGTATTGGGGTACTATTTTCGACGTCAAGTTTGCAACGCATAGAAGGAGACACCATAAAGTATATTTTGTATATAACCACATCTTTCTCAGGTTCTAGGCTTTCTTTTTCTAAATTTGTCATATATCCACAATTTTGCTGCACGCAATCGGACGGAATCGGACCGCTATATCGTACAGCTGCCACAGGAAAGGAATATATGTTTATAAAGCATACGTAATTGTATCACAATTGTATCTCCCCTAGGAACAATCGAGACATTCATAGAGATACGTGTGAAGCTATATGCTTAAAACGTAAAAAGTACAACAAGTAAGAGTGCTCGACTACGATATACCCTGAAACCAGTTGCTAAATATATTCTAGTTTTATTGGAAAATTTCCCTCTAGAAAGTTTAAATATAAGAATATATTTTCGACTATAAATTGGGTGTTTCTTAACCGATCTTGATGAAATTTGGGAAACTGATTAATAAGATGCATATGTATATTCTGTATAAATTAAAAGATTCCGCCTTTAAAATGGTAGAATTTATTGCTATCGGAAATTTAAATGTACCGATATTCGATAAACAGAGGCAGTTATCGATCAAATAAAGCAAACTTGATCTGCGGGAACCTATAATCCAAATTTGAAGTCTCTAACTCTTTTAGTCTCTAAGATCTGCGTGTTCATACAGACGGACGGACATAGCTATATCGACTCGGCTGTTGATTCTGATCAAGAATATATACACTTTATGGAGACGGACGAATGGGGTACTCCATTCAAGGATACTTAAGATAACTGTTATTTTTGTTGTATTCAAAGTTGGCTATCTACCCATATTTAATCATCGAACTTAAAATTGAAGTAGCGAATTTATTAATTCTGTTTAAATATATAGAAAATTAGATTTAGATATTTTTGTAAATGTAAAAACCTTTCAATTAAAAATTTGTATCGTTAATATGAGTGCGTCGTCCGTTTTTATATATTAATACATTAAAATAAACATTCCAAAACCTAAATGAACCTTAATGCAACCCTTTCTTACTAAAAGGGGTTCGAATTTCAAAAATACTTATCAAAGTTGGCCACATTATAAATATGGCAGATAATGATGTAATTATGTTTTCCTTAATGTTGTGTTTGTTTTGGTGAATGATTTTGCATTGTTTGCCGATGCCAGCCAACAACTCTGATTTTAATGATCCTTTTTATCCCTCTCGCATTATATTTCAACGGATGCTTGAATTCTGGCTAAATATTTACATCAATTTATTTTACGCTTATTCAGCAATTAATTGAATATGACTTTGGCCCAAACCAACATGCTTATTGCTGCTTAACCGTCGCATACAAATTGTACGAGTAAGTTTCTCAGTTAAGGTGCTATTTTCAACACAACTGATATCCATTCAGAGCGAACACTTTAAAATTGCATAGATTGGATGTGTGCTCATGGAAGCATGTTATTCTGAAAGTTAATTGGCATGCAACGAGATGTGTGCACATGCTACAGAATACAGAATATAAATAAAGCATTGCTGATGGAATTGATGGTCTTGCCATTAACAGGAATGCAATTTTCATTCAAGTCGTTCAAATGTAAATTTTATGAAAACACGAGACGTGCGCACTTTGACTTTTTGCTCCATTTGACATTGCCATCTCATAAACAACCATTAAAGTAACGAACGACTGCTGAATACCCTGCTTCAGAATATTTGCAATCTTAATAAGCGAGGAGTGCAATGCTTAAAGGTTTACGTGCTATCAAAGTTGATACCTTAAATTTAATTTGATGTAGATATAAATCTATTAAATAGTATTTAGTCATTAGTTTGTGGTTAACTCCTATCATTGTAGAACAAGTAACTTTAAGTGTTACACACTTTATGTGTCACACACACCACTATTAAAATGTTCCACTTCTTGTCAAATCAATGTTTATATACCCTTTATTGGAGTAAAGCTGTCACAGGGCATAACGTATTTAACAAGTCAAACCGTCTAGCGTAAGGAAGCCCAATGGGGATTTGAGAGCTCTAATCTAAACGAGACCCGGCTCAGATTGCTTTATGCCAGTTGTGTCTTTTTTTTTGCTGTTTTCTTGGATTACTCACAGGATGTCCAGCGGCAATTTGACAGAACAATCGCGCAATGTTGCCGTTGCTGTTGATGCAGATGGCTGATGCTGGTGTTGCTGTTGTTGCCGATGTGGCGACGCATGTTGCTGGTGTTGCCTCTGATGGTATTGCTGTGGGTGATGATGTGCCGCATGTGGATGGTGCTGATGCTGCAGCAGCTGTTGATACTCATTCGCCTGCTGATCCGCATCCTGATGCTGATGATGATGATGATGGTGTTGCACTTGATGCGGATGCTGCTGCAGTGGCTGCTGCTCGTTGTTGGTGCTGTGGCTGGTGCTGCTGCCGCCGGTCGCTGCACGTCTCTTGGCGGCAGTCATCAGTGTGGCAGCCAGCTAACGTTCAATGGACCCAAAATTATTACCGACGACTAATTGGCCAGTGCCACAGTAGCCCCGCCAGCCGTGCAGGCAGCACGTGCTGCAGCCCCGCCTACTGCCTGCTTTGGGGTCGTTGCTCGCCGGCTTTTGCTTTCAAAATGAACTCAACTGAATGGAAACCGAGCAAACGGACTGCTGCCTCAGCTGAATTATGGCCACTGCCAGACCACCCCTGCCTTTGTTAGGAAACTGAGCGCCTTTTCTTCCTCCTTCTTCCTTTTTCCTTTTTTTTTTTTTTTGTTCCTTTTGTTTTTGTGCCAACTCTTTTGTGCGCTTAATTAAATTCTTAGTAGCTGCAGTTGCAGTTGCAGCTGCACTCGTTTATTGAGCTTTGTGTTGCTTTGCTATGTATGGCATCTCTTTAAGATTCAAGCTGAATTTCGGTATGTTCTGGAACGCATATTCAATTGTTTAACAATACAAAGCGTTGCTCATTTCCGGCTGGCCAAAACAAGGAAGTTAATCATCACCATCATCATCATCATCACCATCATCAACAACAGGCAACCCAGTGTAATTAGATTTGTTGCTGCTGCTGCTTTTGATCATAAACGTGCTCGCTTTGTGTCAAGTGCTTGCCACGTTATGTGTCGCTTAAGTTGGCAGCAGCTGCTGCTGCTGTTGTTGCTCTTGTTGTCGCTCTGGACATGTCCACTTTGACAGTTCATTGTTGTTTGTTCACTGCCACAGTCTGCTGCGAAAGGTAAAAATCAAATAGAATATATTTTAACATATTACTGGATAATTAAATACAATATATGTAAAAAGTGCGGAAGGTCATGCTTTCAAGACATAGGCTAACCTTAACCTAGCCGAACCAAATCGTAAACATTTTTAGACAGTCCAATGGAACCAAAAAATGTTTCACAGTGAATGAATTTTGGAGAATCACATGAATTAGGCGTGAATTTGGCAAAAACATCTTCATGAATACTTGTCAAATTAAGCACATGATTTTTTGTTATATGTCTTTAGGTATTCTATATGTATATCAGTTTAGAGTATGCAAAAAGTTTCCTTTGAGAACAAACTTTATTAATTAGGCTTCTGCATATTATATATATATATATACAAATATATATCAATATATATATATATACGAATTCTTAGCTATATGCATGCACACTTCTTGACGATATATATATATATATATATTTATATATATAAATATATACAAATTCTTAGCCATACACATGCATGCACACATGTGTATATATATACATATTTATATATATATAGCGTCGTTTTGGAGCGTCGGACTCAGTCGCATTTAATTCGGAGTCGCAATCGGTTGTCAATCAAATTCGGTACTATGAATTCGACAATATTTTCTGTTTTTGTCAATTCGCCCACAGGTAAAACTTAAATCTCAATGTGTGGCGGTCTTTAAGCAATACTTAAAGGATGCTAATCACAATCTGCTTCTCAGATGGTTGGATGAAAGAAATTCCATTGCTGAGCTCACCATGGCCCGTCCTATTGATAACTGTGGGTTATTTGCTGTTCGTGTTGAAAATCGGCAGATGGTTTATGGAACACCGTAAACCGTACAATTTGAAAAACGCAATTCTCGTCTATAATGCCATTCAGATGATCTACAATGCATATATGTTTGTTCATGTAATTACAAGACATATGGTATAGAAAACTTTGTATTATCACAAAAATTTCTTTTCTCAAAAAAGATCTTGGAGGGCTTTTTCATCAATACGCCTTACAACTTGTATTGCATGGAAACGCTCCCGGCAGATCATCCCATAAAGAATAAGGAACGCTGGATATCATATGTATACTTCCTCAATAAGGTGCTGGATATGTTGGATACCGTGTTCTTTGTGCTAAGGAAAAGCTATAAGCAGATTACTGTGCTCCATGTTTATCATCACATAACCATGGTATGTGCCCCGTTTTTGGTGATGCAGTTGTACGGTGTTGGCGGACAATTCGCTGTAATGGGCTTATGCAACACCTTTGTACACGCCGTCATGTATTACTACTACTTCATCTCGGCCATGTATCCGGGTGACAGGAACCACGTGTGGTGGAAGAAGTACATCACCAGACTGCAGATAGTACAATTCGTTATATTGTGTACGCAATCGATTTTAATGTTATTATTTAATCGTGGATGTGGATTTCCGGTCTTACTGCAATACTTACAGCTTTTTGAATCTGGTGCCATTATGGTCATGTTTGGTAAATTCTACTATAAGGCATACATTAAGCCCCAAAATGTAAAACAACAATAAAGTGATTTCACATTATTCATTTATTTATTTATTTGTTTGTTCCCAAATTCTCTCCAAGCGAAGTGCTTAATCGTCTTGACTTTTTAGCCTTTTGAATACATAATATATTTTAATGAATTTGCATTTTCAACACGCGTCTAAGAATAGTAGATAAATTACCACAAAACCAATCCCTTGGGCGACCAACCAATTTCAGTGTGAAATTAAAACTCAGAGCCAAACGCTCTTAAAACAAACGAAGAGAACTCGATTAACTCAAACGTAATCGAACACGACTAGACTCAGCAACTCTATTCTCTAAATATCGAACATTGATGACGTAGAATCAGAATTCATTGACAGAAATACAAAGTGAGCTAAATATAACAATATTTTGAGAACAACTAAATTTGAAAAAACTTGGTAAAACACTTTTAGTCAAGCGCTCTTAATTAGGTTGTTTAAAATTTTGCAATTCAAAAAATATAAATTCTATATAATTATTGGAAAATAAAGACAAAAGGAATTCATAATAGTAGCATAGCAATACAACAAAGTAATCCTGCAAAACCCTTAAATATATATGGACCCCGCTCTGGTTACATTCTGTGTCAAATTTAGATAATACGCTTATTGAGGGTATACTAATTGTATTACCAAATGTGATATTTTTTAAATTTATGTCCATTGTGCAATTGCATAATTGGCGTATTTACTTGTCAAGATTCAATGTTTGACACCAAGTATATGTTTTCAAGTTAAGTCTAGCACGAGTGTCTACTCTCTGTTTATTTCTGTCGGTTTCGTGTCGTCTTTCGATGTCAGATTTCTGTTTAGATAATCGCGTTTTTAATTTTGAATCTGTCGTCCCAAAATATACCTTGTCGCATGCGTATCTTTGAAACTAAATTGCTCAACTTCGGTATTTCAACTTTTCCTTTTGTATTTGTAAAAAGTCTTTTAATTGTGTGAAACGTTCAATATATACTACTGATTTGTACACTTTTTGTGCTTGTATTATATATACTCTAAGTACATTTTGTATTCTCATTTTATATATTTGGACTTAAGATTGTAAATTAACAGCCTATGAGAGTTTTCTTAACTTAATTATTAATTTAGTTCAACTTATTTATATATTTTGGTAAAATTCGACGATTTAGTGTTGACCATACCTTGCATTCAAAGAAAAAACAATCAATGTGTGTCATGAATATTTATAATCCAATAGCACAAATAGCACAAAACTTTGCATGGATTTAGAATGGATTCGCACGTTTAGTTCTATTGCATTCGACATTTTTCCTCTATTCTTTATATGTCGCCATCTCTTTCTATTTGCTCGTGCTTAATTTAACCTTAATTTAACTCAACAGTTTACGGAATTTAAAGAGCACAACTTTCCACTAGACTCTACAAAATGAATGATTGCAAAAAACTCAAGTATCGAACTCATTTCTAGTAGTACATTTTTTTTTTTAACTAGATATGGCTGCAGTTCGAGATCCGCGTTCATTCGTAAAGTGTATTCCGACGTAAATCGACCTAAGCTTGGAAATAAAGTCGTGAAGAGATGTTTGGAATTTTTGACACACCTCATCCGGGTAGGATATATATGTATATGCAGTGTCTCTCATAAGTAAATATTTTAAAAACGATATTTTTCGAAACACGCAGATCCAAACCCGCTGCCGTTGACCAATTCACCATGGCCGATCTTTACGATACTCGCAATCTATTTAATATTTGTGATGAAGGTCGGAAGAGTCTATATGAAGAATCGTGAACCCTACGATTTAAGAACAGTTTTACAATTCTACAATCTCGGTCAGGTGGCATACAATGGAATATTCTTTGGAGTTGTCAGTACCGCTTCTGTTGACTTGATTAAAGTGCAGCACTCCATCAAAGTTTGATACTCTTTTCAGACATTTTATTATCTGATCATACGGCGCATATGCAATTTGGGATGTATGGAAAGCTTTCCGCTTGACCACGAGCACAAGAATCTGGAGCGCTATTTGCACTTTGCGTACTTCATCAACAAGCTCATTGATTTGCTGGACACGGTGTTCTTCGTGCTACGCAAGAGCAATAAACAAATTAGTTTTCTCCATGTGTACCATCATGTTATGGTGTCTGCGGTCTGCTATTTGATAATGCGTTTCTATGGAACTGGTGGTCATCTCAATATTGTTGGAATGGTTAACTCATTAGTGCACACAGTGATGTATTTCTATTATTTCCTTTCGGCCTTCTTACCTGGCTTCAAAGCAAAAATTTGGTGGAAGAAGTATATAACAATAATACAACTCGTGCAATTTGTTGTTATAGCTTTGTATACATTGTTCGTAATGCTAATACAAAAGGACTGTCACATCCCCAATATTCTGCTTCTGATGCAAGTAATTCAGTCTACCCTTATGCTTTATATGTTTGGCAAATTCTATTTGGAGACCTATGTGACCTATGGGGCAAGAGTCCAGAAAGTTGACTAAATGCTATAGTACGACAGGCATTGTCAATTTTAATTAAATGATGTAAATAAAGTTTAATTTAAATACTATCGACGACTGCACTAATTATCCAATGGACAAAGGGCCAATGCATGAGCTAGTTTCTATATTGATTTGCATTTGCAATTTTAAATATGCAATATTTAGCTTTCATTTAGCGCTGCACTTTGACGACTATGGATGGAGGGCACCCGCAGGTGCTAAATACATCAAATTTATGCCAAGTGAGGAATTTGCTAGAAATCAAAGCAGAATTACTAGTACAAATAGCAGCAACAATGAAAAAGCTACAATCGCTTGAAGAATACGGTAAGCTTCCAACTGTTAAGCAAAAGCGACAATCTGCAACGAGCAACGAGTGCACAGACAACAAGCTGACAGTTTCCGCCAAATTCCCAACTCGACCTTCTGAACCCTAAAAACAGCTGTAAAATACTCTGCAGTCGACTGCACTATTATCGATTTTGCAATACGAAAACTTTAAAAATAAATAAATACAATGTTTTAGAAGAGTACAAATAAAACATTTACTCACGTGAAAGGGAACTGGACGTTGCCAAAATGACCTTCGCTTATCATTCATGCAACTAGCTAATTATCAATATTTTCAATAAAAAATACGTTATATTTCTGTAAAATGTAATGCGAAGACATAAGAAAAGAAATGCCATAATAAATATCAAAATATTTATGAAAAATATTAAAAACTGTACAAAATGTATCCAGATATTCTGCAACTTCAATTAATACAGAATCTATTAGATGAATCCCATATGCCACTTTCCCTGTATAGGAATAGGGTATATATATAACGCCTCATAAAACAGCCGGGGGCCTAATAGCTATGGCTAAAGCTACATCCAACTTATGCCGGAAATTCAGAATACTTTTCTGTTGCAAGCAACGACAACTGCAACAATTGCAGCAAGAGAGAGAAAGAGACAGGAAGATATAGAAGGTGGGAGGGGGGGATGCACGAGACCGAAACAATTGCCACAAATATGGCAAATTGCAATTGAAAAACAAAAGTCTCTCGGGAAAGCAGGAAAATGCTTTTTCATGTACTTTCACACTTTATACGCTTAACAAAGACGTGACGACAGCGAAACCAAAATGAAGAGGAAGATGCAACAGAAAAGCGAAGAGGAGGGAGAGGAGAGAGAGGACCACAACCGCATCGAGGTCAGGAGCAATGAAGAAGAATAAAAACGGGGCTGCGCACAGCAAAATTGGCTGTGAAATGAACGACAGATTCAGCAAGGAGATGCGGAGGGAATCGCTTGAGTTTTATCTTTTGTGTATGCGCATTTGAAACAAAGTCAAATGGAAATCTGCATAAAGCCCTTCTAGTTGCATTGATACAATGAGCCCGTGTGTGTGTGTGTGTGTGTATGAGGGGAATGTAGGGGATGGCGCATGGAGGGATGGAAGGACACGCAACACACAACTGAAGGCTTGGAGACTTGACTGAGATCTAAGGCAAAAGCCATAGAAAAGTTTCCATTCAAGTGCGCAAGCAAAACAGCACACATATATATATATATATATATATATATATATATGTATATAGGGTTTTAAGAAAATAAAGTTATATGTAGATATACAAGATATGATTTTGAGCTCTTTAAAGTTAATAGGATTTTGGCTTTGAAGTGCTTGACAAATAAAAAAAAAACCCTAAAGGAAAGCAAACATTGGCAGATAGCGAGTAGGAAACAAATGGAAAGCGGGAATGCGAAAGAGTAAGCGAAATAGTAATTGGAATTAATAGGCTTACATAAATTCCATTTAGAGCGCAACTAGCTCAATTCTGGTATTCTCTGTACATACTCGAAGCTGCATAAACACATACTTCTACGGCAGAGTAATCAAGGCGAGCTGAGCGAAGAAAATCACGTACATTTTTAATCACTTTTTTTTTGTTAGACATTTGTCAGATTTGGAATTCGACAAAAATAAAAAATTAATAAAATAAATAATAAATAATATTATAATAATATTGAATAGAATTAAAGAACGCTCTAAAAGACGTACAAACTTCAGTTGTACATCAGTAGTATCTTATAAAACTAAAACACCACATTGGAAATTAAAATATTATTGCAGATCTAAGCTAAACTAAACTCGATCTAATAGTTAAATTATGAAATTGATATATCAAATACAGAGCTCTAGGTTAAGTAAACAATTGGAATGTGATGAAATTTAGTTTTCTCAGTGTAGAATTACAAATTTAGATGTGTGTGTAAGAAACGTTGGCTTGCAACGACGCTGGCAACTGTGCCATAATTTACACTCTATCGAACGATAACAAACAACCTGCATAATGCATGGTGCTCTATGCCCCACAGCTAACTAAACTCCCGCTAAGGGTGGGATTGAGTGTTGTGCGGCCGTTGAGGTACAATGCTGTTATTGAACTATGGGGTCACAAAGTGGCACAAACTGCGCTCAATACTGTGCGTGTGAATGTATGTGGGTGTTTGTGTGTGTGTGTGTGTGTGTGTGTGTGTGTGGATTTTAACTGAAAAATGTTCAGAGAGTCGCTGCATTATCCCTGAATGCCAGCCAAGTGTGCATGAAAAACACTGTCACCAGCTAGTGTCTGTGTGCGTGTGTGTGTGTGTGTGTGTGGGAAGGACGAACTAGTAATAAAACTGCTGGCGTTGAGCAACTAGCAAAATGGCTGCCCAGGCCAGGCAAACAGCACAAGGAGATGTCTGAGGAGTGCTCCTCCTATGCTCCGCAGTTAATTGAAGAATTTACGCTACATAGTCCTTGGGTAGTATCACCATTTAACGGTTAATGACACTGAGTCCTGCCACGCTGCTTAGCTCAAATTGTAGCACCGCAACGGATTTTCATGGTGATGGCCAAAAACGCATTTGCATTTAAATGTTCATTGCCGAATATTGCAAAAGTCGTTTTGCGAGCACAAATATACAGCATCCAAGGCGTATGCGGATTGCGTATATAGTATTGCGTATTATGTATACGCAGTGTATGCTTGCAGCATTTAAGGTCTGCTGCCTTTTGCTGCGCATATGGCATAATAAAATTTTAATTCCCAACGATTGATGGGCTGCACACGCATCAATGGCTGCTCCTAAATCCAACACTCGTTGACAACAACACTAACAACCAGCAACAACAGCAGAAGCAACAACCAGAAATCGACAGACAGACGGACAGACAGACAGACAGAGAGAGAGAGAGAGAGAGAGAGAAAAGTCTGAAGCAGGCAACACATTAAATTTTATATGGCATCCAGCGCTTATTTGCATATTAGTATATATACACACACACACACTCACACACACTCACACATACACACACTCACACACACACACAAATATGCGATACATGTGCCGAGGCTGTCTGCTACATTGATTGGATTTGTTTGAGTTTTTGAGCTGCTGAGGCCAGTGGGTGAAGTGCTTGTAATGGGTGGAGTGGGTGGATTGTGGGTTATGCCTAAGTACCTGGCATTTGGAAAATGCCAAAGAGCGAGCCTGTTGTGCCTTATACGTTTGGTATTATTTTCTCATTTGCTCGATCAAAGTTGCGGTTGCATCATTTAATTTAATGCCCCTTAATTCTACAGTTGTAGCTATCTCTCGTCCTCGCTCCTTGCCCCCCTCTCACTCTTTGTCTTGTATGCATAATGAATTGGAATTGAGTATTAGGCTGCTCCCTCAACCAAAACGAAGCCCACAAGCTCTAAAAAAATAAGTTGCACAACTGGTTAACTGCATTTACAGTCGAGTAGATAATTTGGCTGTAATTGCAGTTTCTGCTGTTAATTTGTGGTCTTAGTAGTATAGTTTGCATCGTATTTATAGCTTACCTTGTTAACAATTTAGACACAAAGTCATAATGCTCGCTGACCTTTATGTATGTCCTTCACAGCAGACACTCTCAAATGCAAACCATAAAACACACAATTTACTTCTCTCCCACTCTACACTGAAAGAGTAGGAGAGATAGAAGAGACAAAGAGAGTAAGAGGGAGAGAGAGTAAAATAGATCAAGTTCAAGTGAAAGGACACCGTCTGAGAGTGAAATCGAGAGAGAGAGAGAGAGAGATAATGGGGAAAGAGAGGGCAACAACTTGAAATAAATTAAGATAGACATGAAGCGCAAGCATCAGATCGAAAGAGATATAAAAATAACTATGAGATATCAATAACTTGAATACATTTATACAAGTACATATATATTCCATTTGTATAAATTAAATATTAAATAGAAGAAATAAAAGTCCTGTAAGCAATACTTGAGTTCTTGAAAATGTTAATGCAGGTCATTATGCATTTCTCTCTAAACTAAGTTGAAGGGGCAATACTTTATGACTTTATGGGAAACATTATTGTCCACACATGACTCAAACAATCCCCTCCCCTCCTCTCCTCTCCCCAATACCCCTCTCCCAGCACACAGCCCACTATTCAATACCACAGCTTTTGCGTTGTTTATACTATAAACATGTGACTAAGTTATGCTGCTGGCTGGCTATTTGTGAAGTATAAATATTGCATGCCAGCAAATAAACACACACACAACAAGTATAAACAAATGAGTTGGAAGGTGCGCGACTATTAAATACCCTGTTAGCCTTACTTTAAGTTATATACTAACTATGGATTCTCTAGCTCGTATAGTCTCTGAGATCGGCTCGTTTATGTAATTGGAAAATCGAACACATCCAGATCTGTATATATATATATACATACTTTTTGCTTGTGACACAATTTTATTATACCATTTCAGTGTATAAAAAGGTATATAACCAAAAGATATACTTTACAGAGGTGGATATTTCCCCAATTACCATTTAATAGCACCGGGGAATATATGAAAAAGCACACACACACATACACACATACACACACACCCAACAAACACACACATCCACAGGTAGTTAAGCCGCTGGGATTAAGCGCTCATTATGCTTATTAAAATAATACACAAACAAACAGAAGCACAAACATAAACACTAAGTAAACTGTAATTAATCAGCAATTTTTTAAAATCACTGCCTGTAAGTTGAATACAAATTGAAATAAATCATTTAAATGCCATAAATGTCCACAATGAAACTGAAGCCCTTGTTGCGCTGACTCTTGAAATGTATCTTGACAAAGTGGGAATTTGGACCGCCAGCGACAAGGTGAGCATAGCCGCCGCCTCCATTCCTGACTTGATCAGTGACCACAATTTGGGTGATGCGACGCTGGAGGCCCTAATAGCCGAAAGAAAACTGGAGTTAAAACTTTGGCAAAGAGAGGGGGGGCTGCGGGGTAAACGCACAATTTGTTGAAAATGATAGTCACGTGTGACAACGCGCAAGAACCGCGACTTCTCTGTGATGATGACCCGCTCCAGATGTGTGTCCCGAAACATGCGACCACCCCATGCCACACTGTGACTCTGATTGGTCCCAGCCGAGTGGCTGACTGCGGCCAGCGAGACTAACAGCAATGTGGTAAAGAAGTAGGCTTGCATATTGTATGCGCTTAATTAACGGGTCTCAAAATGTAAGTCGCATTTATATAGGTCTGTGCAACAATGGCCTAGAGTACCAAGCGTGATTCTGGCTCTAAACAAAAGAGTTTTGTTTCACCTGCTGTGCTAATAAATAAAATGTATTGTGTGTGCGTGTGTGGCCTCAGCTGGCATTGCAATGTACAAAATACGCAGCTGTTTTTATTTATAAATGACTGGATTTATGCATATGCAAATTGAAGCTAAAATAAAATTCAAACAAAATAAAGAATTTATTTTGAAAACAATGCAAAAAAGTCAACGAGAATGTCAGAGTTCTTGGCTAAATTTCTAGCCTGCTCAAATCAACCAAAAAACACAGTAAAAAAAAAAACAACAACAACAACAAAAATAAACACTAAAAACGTGGAAGAGAGAAACAGAATTCCTCACAGCACATTAAACATGCAAATTTCGAAATGGATTACACATGAATACCTAAAATGTTGTGCCAGGGTCCGGGGGCCAGCTCGGAATCAGGGCACACCCACAGCAAGAGTAGAGAGAAAAGGAGCAAGATGGAGGAGAGTAGGAGCAAGAGGCACACCTTGTCCTTGCCATGTTGCTACAGATGTGGGCATTCCTTTAAACTCGCTTTAAGCCACATATTTATTTAATTTTTGTCACCCCTCCCCAACCCTGACTGTAATCATAGCAGCTCATGCCACGCTGCACAGATCCAATTTACTCAAGTACAAAGACCCTGTCGCGTATATTGTTGAAATTTTATTGTGCAAACATGAGAGTGTGCAAAACATTTATATGTGTGTGGGTGGTTGTGTTATGTATGTGGTTGAGCTTTATGGTTGCCACGTTGGTTGTGTTTCTCATTTGTGCACAAACAAAGTCTAAGCTTGCGACCCGTTGTTAAGTGTCTGTTGTGGCCAAGTATCTATCAGTCTGACTGTGTGAATGTGTGTGTGTGTGTGTGTGTGTGTGTAGTGAGTGGTGTGTCTGTGTGCAACGCAATATAAAAACGATTTTTGGCAAACAAATCGGAAGGACAACAAGAGCAACAACAACAAGTATGATATCATTAAATATGACAATCCGCTGATGAGATACCCTTTAAAGAAATTGTTTTTAGCCCGTGGCAAAGTGACTTTCTAAGACAGCAAGTTGAGCTTAAAGCAAGATCACGTTGCGAATTACAAATTATCTTATCTAAAATCTATATTTGCATATCTTAACCATTAACATATTCATTTCAACGCACTTGGGGAACCTCAAAAATTGAATTTGTAACATGCTGATGATTTGATAAGCTGTCACACTCATATGTGAAGTTGACAAATGATGTAAATAGCAAACAAATAAAATAATAAAATAACAATATAGATCGAAATTTGTCCCAGTTGGAACTCCACATAAAACCGAATATGACTGTATATAAAAGCTTGAGTGCAAGTTTCCAAGCATGTTAATACAGTTCTTGTACCCATCGGTGGACTAAAAATACATGTTGTGCATGGAAGAGTACTAAAATGACAGAAACATAACAAGCAACGACAAAAAATGGATAAACACATGTGCACTTTGTAGTGGATGTTCACTTTAGTTGAAATATGCATAAGAATAACAAAAAACGAGATATTCGACTATTTTCTTATTCATATTTATGCAGCGGATGCGATGCATAAAAAATATGTGTATAAATATGTGACTTGCTATCTCAGTCTTGATTGGTTTTACTCTTTCTGTCTCTCTCTCTCTCTCTCTCTCTCTCTCTCTTTGTCTCTCTCTCTCTCTCAGTCTCTCTCTCTCTCTTCGCTAGGTCAGTCACTATCTCTGTGCTCGCCATTCAACAGGCAGAAATTGAGTTGTGTCACTTTATGGTTAAAACGCTTGAAATAAATTTTAATTAAAACAAATGGCACTTGAAACAAAACACGCACAGCCAACACACACAAAAAGATAGAACAGACAGACAGACAGAGACAGCAAATGTAATTACAGATTATAATCGAGAGGGTGGAGCGGCAGAGGTCGAGTGTATCTATGTATGTGGGAGCGAGCAAGCAGTGCATGAATTACGTTTTGCTTGTGCATGAAATCAAGGGCTCTTGCTAAATTAACAGCAGCTGCACTCATACACCAACAAACACCCCACACACACACACACACATACATGATGGGTTCGTGGCAAGTTGAGACAAAACAAACAACACGAGAAAAGCGCCAACAGAACTCCATTTGATTAGGTTAGCAACAGGCAACAGCAGCAGCAGCAGCAACAGCAGAGAGACTGAGATGGAGAGAGACACAGAGAGTGAGAAAGAAAGCGCTGTGGCAATTTTCACGCTAGGAAATTGTCTCTACACACACACACACTTAAATAGAGAAAGAGGCAGAGAGAGAGAGAGAGCGAGAGCGAGAGAGATAGAAAAAGAGACAGAGAGAGAGAGAGCGAGAGCAAAGTCGATTTGAAAACGAGACACTGGACAAATGCAAAGTTGCTTCCATAGAATTGTAATTAGATAGCAGCTCGCACTACAAAAACAACAACAACAACAACAACAACTACAACTACAACAGCAACAGCAACGGCAACAGCAAAAGCACTCCTAAAGTTCCGCATTAATAACAGTTATTATAGGGAATTTGAGCACGAAAATTATACGGCTTTGGCTCTATAATCTGTGTGGCGTTTGTCATATTTGTGCTCTTTGAAACTGTGTTGCCACATGCGGCAGGACGGAAAAATAACTGAAGGCATTTGATAAAATCCACTTGGTTAAGGCGTCTTAATTTCCAAAACCACTATGACACCCCAAAAACCACTGACCCACTGAGCCATTAGGCTTCATTCTGATGTTGTTTGCTGTGGATGGGCGACCATTCAGCCACTTTGGCAACTCCCACATCTTTGACAATATCCAACTTGAGCGGAGGAGGATGAGCTGCAAATAAGTGCCATTTAAGGTCTCAGTATGCTAAACGACATTAACGTGGCACCCAAGTGTCAGTTAACGCCTGTCACACACTTGACTACGACACCCCAAACTTTGCCAATTTGACAACATTTTCTTCAGCATTACGCATACGCCACATGGACGGGCAGCAACAGCAACAGCCAAATGATGCTTCAGCAGCAATTACGCTTCACATTTGTTAAACTTATCAAAGAAGCAGAAGATTCCCAGTAAATGCTATTTATTGTTTTACTTAAAATGCTTTCGCAAATTAAAACAAAGGAAATGTGATGTTTTTGCTATAATGTAGATTGTAGTAGATAAAGAAAAAAACTAAGAATGCTGCTCAGGCTGTGCCCATATGTTATATACAGTAAATCGTTTAAAATAACGGTTGTGATTAGCATTAGCATCAAACGTACACTCATTTACCGTTGTCCCTTTCTCACACAGGCATGCACATATTTATATATACGGAAAAAGCATGCGCCTGCTGAAATATTTACTTTTCATCAATAATAATATGTCAAGGAAAATGTTATTTTAATAGGAAGGGTTTGTTTTTCAAATATTGGACTTAATTGAAATCTATATGTATGCATGATGTATGTTCTGCATTGCATTGATAAATATAGTAAACTTGATCCGCAGATGATATCAGTAAACTTGGAATCCAAATTTTAAGTCTCGATCTCTTATAGTCTCTGAGATATATCGATTCGACTTTGTATCCTAATTAAGAATATATATGCTGGCAGATGCTTCCATCCGTCTGTTACAAACTTTTGCACAACTTCATTATACAATTTTAATCCATATTTAATGTGTTCAGGGTAAATTTTATTCGAGTTAATTTTTTTCAATCAACCAAAGTCGAATTCATCTATTTGCCATATTTTTGTTCAGCATTTCCGAATTCGTTTGTTATTTGCCATTATTTTCTGCAATCTACCCAAAATCTGTTGTTTAGGTTGTAGTTGTGTGGCTTTGTAGTTGTTATCCTTATCGCTTATTCTTTTGTGACTTTAGAAGGGTTTTTTATATTTTTCTTTGCGGACAGCTTTTGGCGACTTGGAAAGCCCTCTCAAAATGATTCGCTGTCATTGTGCATACAAATTGCAAGAAATGTTGCACGCTGCGACGGACCACAGCTCAGTGTGGCATGTTTGGAGCTGACAGCAGCCTGCTTTTGCTGGCCGCGACGGGTGACAGTTTCAATGAATGCGAAATTCGTTATTTGAACAAATCACAGTTTGCCACAAAATGTTGACTCAGCGACAGTTGCAGAATAAGCTGTTGCTTTTGCTGTTGCTTCTGCTGCTGTTTACATGCAAATTGGCCTTTTGGCTCTGGTGCTTCAAGGAAAACTTGCACTCGACTTGAAATGTCCTGCCTAAGAGATATAAGGCAGCAAATAAGCTGCCGCCACTCCAGACATTTGCAACGTGCCCGAGTGGCACCATTTGGTATTTTCTTTCAAGTATAAAACTTGGCAAGCAAACAATGAAAATTACTTTTCATATTTAATTGCCTGACAACGCAGCACTTGCCACAACAGCAAACATAGCTGGTGCAACAGTGCAGAAGAATGCAAACAAAGTGTCACATGAAATTAAACAGAACTTAAAGTTAAAATGGCAATTGAAATTACCTGTCACATGCCACATACCAACTGCTGGATGCAACACAAACACGAAAGGTGCCACAACTTGAGGCTCTCGGCGTAACTTGCCCAAAAATGAGACGTGGCAAGCAAGTAATAGAGACAGCAAATGCTTATTATTTACATAATTTCCTCTGCACACAAACACAAAGTACACTGAAACACACACATTAACACACACACACACGCACACACACACACACACACACACACACAATTTTAGCTCTAGACAAAGTACATTTAGGGCTTTAAAAATGCAAATTGCGTAGAAAATTTAAATGTCAGCTAACAATTCAGTTGTTAAACTCACATTAAGAGCACAAAATACTTGCCGAGGCAGCACCAGAAGAAGACTACATGCCACATGCAGCAGTTGCAAACGAGAAATGAATATAAAAAACAAGAAAATCCGCCTATCTTAGGCAAGCCGAAAATTAAATACCCATGCAGATTGGAATTAAGCTACCGATACGTGAATTTCACAATATATTTAAAGAAACCGATCGATTGAAACTATAAGAAAATGGTCTGATTCGAATATTTTTTTGTACAAATAAATTTGAATTTGAATACCTTGATAAAACAAAAAGATCTTATTACAAGAACTCATCTTTGGAACGTTCGCTGCTATGACAGCTAAATGATAAAGTATTTCGATCCGGCCACCTCCGACTGCCTGCCAAGTTTCATCAAGATAGCTTCAAAACTGAGAGACTATTACGAACAGAAATAGACGGACAGATAGGCATGGCTGTATTGAATCGTCTAGTGATAGTGATCAAGAACATATAAACTTTATGGGAGACGTCTGCTGCAATGCATTGCAAACTTGACGACTAACTTATAATACCCTCAGGGAGGGTATCAGAGCATGAGCACAAAGTTGCGTTATGCAGACACCACGTTGTACGCCTCAAAGAAACGTAATTTGCTGCAGCAGCTTTGCTTTTATTTCCGATGTGGCTTTGAAAAAAATAAAAACTACTTTAAATTAAGCAAAACAAGACTAGAAAATACCCTAAAAATAAGCGCTTATCTAACTTTAATGAATAGCTATTAAAGTAATGGAACTGCTCATCTTCAAAGAATACTTAAAGAGTAGTTTGCAAAATGTATTTCATGACATACTTCAACTTGAGTAAGCTACCCTTAATGCGCTCTTCAGTATGCAGGGTACTCCACAAAAAGTCGAACCTTAGCAGCAGCTTATCATTTTTGAGCAATTGTAAAGCGACCGAGAAAACTTGGAACACCAAACTTTTCACTTTGTCGTTGTGAATGCGAATGTGGTTTTCTAAGAAATTGTTCTTGTTGGTTGGGTGGCTGGGTGGTTGGGTGCTGGCGGTGGCGTGCATGCGTAGCGGCTTTCGTATTGCTATTCGATGTCAATTTAAAGTTTTTCATTTTACTTCCTATTTTTTTGTTGTTTTTTTTGTTTTTTTTTACAGCTTATTGTTGGCTGGGATAAAGTTTCAGTAGAAAAGTTGGTCGCATTGTTCGGGTCGGAGCTAAGACAAAGGTTAGGGTAAGCTCGGCATAATCGATTTGCTTTTGCCTTTTCATTTTAATAATTTTCTACGTTCGGGGCAACAAAAGCAACACTGCAACACAGTGCGGCAACAATTACGTGCAGCAAACAAGCTAAATGCAATCAACGAAGGCAACAATGAAAAATAAACTGGAAAAAAGGGAAAAATGTTGCAGAATTGCAGGTTGCAGTGCCAAACTGGGTTAAAGACTTTGTCTTCGTTTGTGCCACTTCCCTTGACATTTGGCGCCTGCGGCAGCAACTTTTTGTGGCAGGTGCATTATTGCTAAATGCTGCCCCATAATTGAGGCACGTGCGTAAAACAGTAAAAAAAAAAAAACAAATGCTGAGCGCAGCAGCAAAAAATGCACACAAATTTCATGCAACATTGTGTTGTTCTTAGATGTGCAACGCGCAGTTTGCCGCTTATACGTGCTACGTGCAACACTAAATACACATTCATCATGTTTAATACGCATTTAGCTAATTTATTTATGTATTATATTAAACCGCAGCTGCAACCACAAGGGGCAGCGAATGAAGAACCACCCACAATGCATTTTTATATGCATTTATGTACATATTCCATTATCAGCAAATGCAGCACTCGATTCAGTTTAATTCAATTGAAGTTGATTAAAAATTAATTTCAAATTAAATGTGCGCTCAGTGATTTTGCACTTTCAATATCTGTAGTGGATGGTGTTGGTGTGACAGGGCAGGTGTGTGTGTGTGTGTGTGTGTGTGTGCGTTGAGTGGGGTGTGCCATTTCCTGATATTAAACGTCAGAGCTTAGCGAGGTAGTTAAAAGCTGTCAGCAAACGTAAAAACTCGACACGTTTTCGCCATCCACTCAGGAAACATACATGGCTCAAATGGCAAATGGCAAAAGTTGTTACTCACACACACACATACACACATTAAGCAAGTTACACAATGCTGACTAATAAGTACACGAGCAGCTGGAGCGGAAACGGAAGTTGTTGCAAAGTCCGTTGAAATCAATTTTAAAGGTAAACTTGTTACAAGTAACCGAAATACAACAACAGCAAGCAAAAATCAAACTAATTGCAATTCTCATTATACCCAGTAACTTTAAAACACATATGTGTAGGGTAGCTTAATGCTAAAGGTAGATATGAAAACAGTTTATACAAATGAGCAGCTAATTCATTTAAAAAAAAAACAATTAGGCTAATGTAATTATTTAATAATATCCTTTCTGTAATTTGAGCCTGTTGCAAGTGAAGTTTACTGACACTTACTTTTTACAAGGTATTCACTGATCACACAATACACAATTTTCAAAACACCCAGTAGCTTTGTTATTGTGGTTAATGGGCCTCCGAACGAAGTTATTGTTGCAATTCAAGTTACCCAAACTTTGGTTGTTATCGATTATTACACACACACACACACACACACACACACATGTGTGTGTAGCTGTAATCTGTATATGTATGTACGTGCTCCAGATGCGCCCCATTAACGTTTCGCATGCCCCAGCAAAAGTTTCAAAATTTATTTGCCTCATTTTGTGAACAATGTTTGGCTGGCTAGCTAACTGGCTGGCGGAATCTGCGTGTTGTGGCACGGTAAAGTTGCAACACTTCCAGCTGCAATTAAAAGTGAAGCAACGCCCAGCTCCCCTCGTTTAATGAACTACCCCGTAAAAAAAAAGCGACACTCAGTTTCAAGCAGCAGCTAATGGCAATTTATGTGAGTTAATAAACGACGCTCACGAAAAAAAAATACAAATTATAATAATAATAATAAAGAGGAAACATTGGAAAACAAAATGGTATAAAAGACTCGCAATACACTCAATTTCCTCAGTCAGCGTCCACAACTTAACTCTCATAAATCTGGCGATAGTTGTTAAAACCCCATTTAAAACTGACACGGTAAAGAACGCTCAACATCTCCAGCACTTTGATTCCATCCAACCATGCTGCCATCCTTTGCTCTTGCCCACCCACTTTGTCAACTCTATCGTCTTCATCCATTTTGGCTTGCAATGTGCAGCGGGAAAATGGCAGCTGCAACTTGGCAGCCTTTCACGCGGCATGTTAATTAGAAAACTCTTGAAAATTATTAAAAACTTTCGAAGCTGTCAGGCGGCCAAAAGTGTTGCCAACTTTTGCTTCCGGCTGTAAAACGAGACGATTCCTTCCACTAACTCCCTCCCCCTTCCCCTTCTCCTTCCCCTTCCCATCACAAATTTTTCTCAGATACTTAAAAAGTTTGCACCGGCTCTCAACTCCAGCTGCTGCCATGTGAGTGTGTTGAGCTTTAAATATTTCGTGTAGCATATAAAATTGCTCTCATTGGCATTGACATTGCTTCAAAAAATCTTTTTAGTTCTGAAAGTGAAACATTTTGGTTTTACATTCATGTGATTTTGTAGTCACCAATTAGTGAGCAAGTCAATTGGGACAGGCTTCCCTATTTGCGTAGCTATAACGATAGAAAGAAATTGCAAATGGTTTACTAAGCTTTTAATGTGAAATGCTTCAATTTTAAAAGAATTTCTTTTGTTAATATTTTTGGCTCTTTTTTGTATATACAGCATTCTTACATTATATTTTTATTGCTTATATTTGATTTTAATAATTCACATATACCAAAAACATTTTCGACCATTTATAAATTATTTATTATTATACAGCAGTGGACAGAACAATTTTCAGTCCTACTTTCTGCATTTTTTTCTAAAGATATTGGTTTACTTTTAGAAATAGTTTCAATTATTAAGATAAAAAATATTGAATTATAAAATTTGTTTCATATTTAGAAATCATTTCTAAAAACAAGAAAAGCTTTCTAATTTTCTTTTAAGCTTGTGGGCGATTTTTTTTAGTATAGCATCATATAAACAGAGACGCTTACTTAGACTTAACCTGGTTTTTCTCACAATTTGCTTATTATCTAAATTTATAAATTAATTTGTAAGCGCAACTGACAAGCAAACTGCATTCCCCATAAACTTATTCGAATAGCAGCAGAGAAAGGAAAACGCAAATGTATTTAACTACTTAAATAATAAATAAATCTATAAAGCTCCAATTAAAAGTGTCAACATTTAAATGGATGCTAAGTGATGGCATACAAAATAAATAATTTAAGATTAAATATGCAAGCTGCTGCTTCTCTTTCAAACTAGCTTAAATTTTTAATACTTCAAAATAACAATATGTGTATATATAAATATATTCTCATCTATCTAAGATGCCAACCACTTTGCATATCTGTCAGTAGCAACAATTGCGACACCAACACCCTGCCCCTCTTCACTTAGCATCTTTGATTGGTGTCAATTAACCGGAATGCAACAAACAAATCTCTGTGTAAAGTCAAACAAGGGTACCGCTTAGAACCAGATAAGCTGGAAAAACCATTTCGCAATGAAATCTCAGCGGATGCTGTGTGTGTTTCGACAATAGAATATCAGTCGACCACGCGACCTCAAAGTGTACAGTTCAACAGCGATACGGATTAAATTAACAAACAAGCAAGTAGAATATGCCACAGATACGGATTGCTCCCAAGGAGGAGGCTGTGGAGGAGGAGGAGGAGGAGGCGAAGTCAAAGTTGCCGAAGGAGCAGTGGGGCAATGGTCTGGAGTTTCTATTCTCCTGCATCTCGTTGTCTGTCGGCTTGGGAAATATCTGGCGTTTTCCCTACATTGCCTTTCAAAATGGCGGCGGCACATTTGTGATACCCTATCTAATAGCACTGCTGGTAATTGGACGACCTGTATACTATTTGGAGATCTCTTTGGGTCAGTTTCGTGGCGGCGGTGTTCTGCGCGCCTTTGATCTGGCGCCCATACTAAAGGGCGTGGCAGCGGGTCAGGTGCTGGCCACGGGCGCCTCCATAACCTACTACTCAAGCATTATGGCGCTGACACTGCGCTTCCTATTCGCCTCCTTCAGCACGGTGCTGCCCTGGAGCGACTGCCGCGAAAGCTGGGGTGACGATTGCCACAATGGCAGCGCTGCCCCTAATGCCACTGGCAAAATGTCACCTGCTCAACTGTACTTTGAGTAAGCCAACTTTGGTATACAAAATATATATATATATATTTATAACAGGAAAGAACGGTTATATTAGGTCCGCCGAAGGTTACATACCTTGTAAGCCAAACTCAACCAGCCGTCATATAACTTTCAAAATGAATTTGAGAAACAGGCCGATTGTTTCTACTAAAGCCAGTCCGACTTCGATAATACACATAAGTTTGGATCGGTTTTTCCTATGTCGGCTATATTGGGTTTTTTATTTGAATATCTAAGGAAAAAAATACTTTCTATTGATCGATTCTTCCTATGAAAGCTATATGATATTTGACATATATCTTCAAAACTGATAGAATACTTTGCATAGAAATATTCTGCTGAAGACAACTCCTTCAATGCGTTACAAACTTTACGAAAAATCATTATACCCAATAGAAGAGTATAACAAAAAACCGTAAAAAAAAACGGTAAACTTCAGGAAGCCTTTTCAATTATTAATATTATAGCAATATTTGCTTTAATTTAAAGTTGTAAAATATTTTTTCTTATTAATTTATGAGCCTTTACCGTATTCCATTTTAATAATATTTTTAACATGTCTGACAAGTCTTTGACTTAAAAAAAAAACAGGCGTGAAATACTGCATGAGCTGCACAGCATCGAGGATGGTCTGGGTGCGCCCAATTGGGAGTTGGTTGCCAGTTTGGCCGTTGCTTGGCTCATCATTGGCGGTGTTCTGATAAGGGGCATCAAAAGCAGCGGCAAAGCCGCCTACTTTCTAGGCGTGTTTCCCTACGTGGTGTTACTGATTCTGCTGGTGCGAGCACTGACGCTGCCTGGTGCCTGGGATGGCATTGTGTACTTCTTTAAGCCACAGTGGAGGGAGCTGCTCAATCCGCTCGTTTGGTATGCAGCTGTTACCCAGGTCTTCTTCTCGCTGGCCATTTGCTTTGGTACACTGATAACCTATGCGTCCTACAACAACTTTAATCGGAATGTATACAAGTAGGTGGTGCAGTGAACTAAACCACACAGCAGAACCCGATTAATTTTATTTATTTGCCATGGCATAGCGATATTGTAATCATTACCACAATGGACTCGTGCTCATCAATAATTGCCGGCTGCATTACCTTTGGCATTTTGGGCAATTTGGCCAAAGAGACGGGCATTACGGATATTGGCAGCGTGATGAAGGGCGGCACCGGTTTGGCTTTCATTTCATATCCGGACGCGATTGCCAAGTTCGAGTATGTGCCACAGGTAAGCTATCGAGAATGGCGAGCGCTGCGTGCGCCCTAAAGCACAACTACCTAAAGATGTTTGCGTTCCTTTTCTTCCTAATGCTCTTTGTCCTAGGCATTGGCAGTACCGTTGGCATGGCCGCCTGCATCCTGCGCGTCATCCGTGACCAATTTGGCCAAAATGCGGGTCCCAGCTGGGCACTCGCTGGCGGCCTCGCTGCCCTGGGCTTTGGTCTGAGCATCGTATATGTGACACCCGGTGGACAGTTCATTGTCAATCTAGCCGATTCCTATGGCGTGTCCTTTACCGCACTAATACTGGCCATTGGAGAACTGCTCGCCGTTGCCTGGTTCTATGGTACGCTTGTGTATTTTCATTCTAGCTTTCTTTTGGCCTGCTAAGTGGCTTCTCTATTTTTATACTCTGATACGGAAGGTATAGTGTTATATATGACTGTAGATTCTTAAAGCAGGAGTCACTAAAATTGGTTAGTATCTTATTGGTGAGGTCCTTCAGACAACGACAAGCCCAACTTGAAAGAAATATTACACGGAACCTCTTGCTCATATTGCTGCAAGAAGTATCTAACCTTCTATTGGTATCAGAGTATTACGAAGTAGGATACACCCAACTGCATTTTTCTGTGTTGAATTTTTTGGCAGGCTTGCGACGCTTTTGCGCTGATATCAAGTTCATGATGGGCATCGAGACAGGATGGTACTGGCGCTTCTGCTGGGCCTACATCACGCCCGGACTGATGACCGCTGTGCTGATTTATATGCTGCTCAACATGAATAAACTTACGTACAAACGTGTCGAGTATCCACATAGCGCACACGGTAAGCGAATTACTCTACGGAAGAACTACTTGGGACTCGTAATCAAGAAATATATTGTTTAGTATTTAGTGAGCTCTTTTTAAATTAAAATATGTTCTTTTTACTCCGACATGTTTGGAATCTCGTCGAGATTCACAGCATACGTCCAGTAAACTGTAGAATTTCAAACTCTACACCTGCAGCCAGCGAAAGTCATATTTTAGGTAAAAAAAAATATTTACAGCAGCGATTATTTTAAATTTATTATAACTGTCGAGAACGCAGCAATTGCATTCCCAGGAAGTTATTTACTCTACTGTACATATTTCATACATATCTGATTTAATGTTTTTTATAATTTGTATTTTTATTTATTTTATTTTTCGTGATACTCACCATCGTGGAGCTCACCATCTCTAAAAATACACATTTTTCGCTATCGTGCAACACAGTCGGTACTTTCGTTTTGGAAGTCTCTGCTGCTTGATATTATATCTACGGGCCACTAAATCAGACTAAACTGTAGCAATAACTTATTTGAAATTCTCAATATTTGCAGCAGGCACAAGTGTGAAAAATAATAGATAAAACATATGCGTAAATTCCATTTGCAGGATTACACAGATGCAATAAAATATTCTATATATATTCATAAATATATTATTATAAATCTGTACGAATTTATTGACTTCAATTTCAGTCTTTGGCTATTGCTTGGCTTCAATTGGCTTGTTGCAGCTGCCTGGTTGGGCTTTGTATGCTTGGTACAAGCAGCCTAGAACATGTGGCAGCTTATGGATGGTAGATGCCTCAATCTATATTCAATATATACATATATATATATATATATATATATATATATACAATACATATACCTCATTTAATATGCACTCTCTTTTCAGCGTCTACGCGCTGCCTGCCAACCAGACGATTCCTGGACACCCGCCTGTGGACAGTTGCCACAGGAATGAAAATTGCTATTGGCTGATGCTGCGTATACGTTATGTCTCAAGTGCATCTGCAAGTGTTTAAAGTAGATTGTGTACAACTGAATAAATGATGTGAATAAGCAAACTTTAAACAGTGGCCACAAAAAATAATTAACAAAGTTTACTTTGTTCCAGACAAACCAACAGAGTCAATTCCCGTGAAATACTAAACAATAATAAGTGTTAATTATGTAACATGAAATACTCTATATGTTTTCTATTATAAACATAGACTGTGCTTGGAGCTACTTAACGCTTATAGGCCAAATCCCTTTAAGTAAATCACGTCATGCCTTCGCCGATTTTGACTTGCTTGATATTTTATCAATAAGTTCTATGTATCCCTTATGGCGTCATGAATACCCTCAGTGAGGGTATCAACGCAGCTGCCAACAACAGCCAACTAGAATAATAACAAACAGCTAGAATGTGAAGAAATCGACAACCAGCAACCAGCAAAACACAACTCGAAGCAAACAACAAAAGCAACGAGTAAGCTGAGAGAGAAAGCCAAATGAAAGCGCTTTTAATTACCACAGGGCGCGGCATGTGGCATGTGGCACGTCGACAACAAGCAGTCATCGTTGCAGTATAATGGAAGCGAAGGATGCAGCCTGATGTCACTGAGGCGATGCAGTCAGAGCTGCAGATGGGCATTGCTGGAAACGGCACTGAAACTGGCAGCGCTTTGTGTCCGCTTGGAATGGCAGAAATGTTGGCAATGCGGAAATACGGAATGCGCAAATTTCAAATGAAAACAAGCGAGTGAATGAACGGAATAGCAAATAATCCATTCTCCACTTTGCTCCGTTGTTCGACGGGGCGACGAGAGGCACTGGGTCTATTGAGGCTGCTGCGATGGGGTAACAAATCAAAATGGTCACGGATTGTTTGTACATGAGTGTTGGTATGTGTGTGTGTGTGTGTGTGTGGGTGTGTGTGTGGCTGTGTGAGTAGGTGTGGGTGTGTGTGTGTGTGTGTGTGAGTGACAAAAGTCGAAATGTAAATATGCAAAAGTGAGGCGTGTGAAATATTACGAGTTTGTCACTCGCTTGGCATTGCGACACTTTTAACATATGACAACGCGTTCATTCACATGTATGTGTCTATATACATATATGTATATGTGCGTTGGTGTGTGGGTGTGTGTATGTGTGTGTGTGTGTGTGCGCATCAGTTGTCAAGAAGTGACAGTGTTAAATTTTTTTCATTTCCCTCAAAGCACACAACCCTATTGCTGTTGCCGCCTTCATTCGCATCGCTTCACTTCCCTTTCGACACAACAACAACAAGAAAGACATCAGCAACAACAACAAAAACAACAACGACGACAAAAGCAGCAACAAAGTGAAGTGTGTGTTGACTTTGACTGACGCGTTGTTAGCCGTAAAGTGTCTCGTGACCAGCGACGTCACAACCTTCTCTAGCATTGCGTGTCCTCAGCTCAGGCACGCCCACAGCACACACTAAGACACACTAACACACACTAACACTCACTAACACACACTCTCACACACTTACACACACACTCAGACGCACACACATAAGCAGATAGAAATAGACAGCGCCATGTTGGTTGCGTTTTTATATCCTGAACCCATTCAAAATGGTTACAAAGGGTATATTCATTTTGTGCAAAAGTATGTAACAGGCTACAGGAAGCATCTCCGACCCCAAAAGTTACATATTTATTTTTGATCTTGATCTGGCATGAGCCTTCTAGTTTATTGACATACTATTGTATTTCAAATAAAAATACGCACTGAGTTAGTTTCTTTTCCGTCCATAAGAAATGGGAACAGTTCCATGCATGCATCCATTTGAGTGTGCAACATTCTTGGTAGGGTTGAGGCTATCTCGTAGTCGAGCACACATTTTTTTGTGATGCCCTTTTCGGGGGTCTGCGCTAAATGTTGTGCTATAAATAAGCTCGTAAATGTTACTCATATTGAAAGTGTTCGTAATATCAAAGGCTAATAAAAAGGTGTCTCTTTAGTCCTTGATAATATTCATCGCTGTTTTGCTTGATTGCAATTAAATTAACTATGAACAGCCCCAGCAGATCGTTAAGCAAGTTTGCTCTGTAAACTTTTACAGGGTATCACATAACCAAATCACTCCACCACTTTCTTCTACTTTATTTTTCTTTTTTTTTTTGCTTATGGCTTTAGCGATGCGCGTAAATCTTGACATACTTTTTCGAACAGGGGCGTCACAGGCAGCCAATGAGCGGGAAATAACACACATCCACACACACTGCACACTCATCTCAGCCGTAAAGTATGCTACACACTCCGTGCAGCTGCGACAAATATCTATACATATTTCGCTATACAAGTGGCACAGCTGTCCAGAGTTGACTGGCCATTCATCCAATTCTCGTACATCCGTTTATGTAAAGTGCCACACATAGTTGAGTCAACCAGAAAGAGAAAGAGAGAGAGAGAGAGAGAGAGCGAGAGAGAGAGAGAGAGAGGGCGGGTGAAAAACATCTGCAACTGCAGCTGAAGTTTGGTAGAATGTTAGCTGCAAGTTTTGCCACAAAAGGCTGCATTTGAAATTTTTTATTATGAATTTGAAAGCAAACTTCAACTTTTGCAAAATTGACGAGCGAACGTTTTCAGTCATATTTATAGACAGCTTTTCTTAAACCTAAAAAAAAAATTTAAAAAAAAACGGTTTATCGCTTTTAGCCACTCAACGTGTCGTATACTTAATGGAATATATGTTGCAGTTGCTGTTTGCTGCTACTCAATGGTTATTTGAGTGCTTAGCAATTTATATTTAATTGGCTTTAATTTGAGAACTTAAGATTGAGAAAAGCCCAAATGGCTAAATAACTGTAATAAATACATTTCATATGTGTCCGTTGTTTTTTCGTTTGAGCCTTGTCATTATAAATGAATGGGAAACAAGTCGCCCAACTGATGTTACTGTCGCTTATTGTTGTTAGTCAGTAACTTTGTTGTTGTGCTTTGGTAATTAGGTAACTTTCTGTTTAAATATGTATTATGCATTGTACGATTGGATTGATAAATGTCTGCTGCCTCCGCTCAATTAAATGAAACTTTAGCCGGACTCTCTCTCTCTCTACATACAAATATACATATACATGTATGTAAAAATATCTATGTATATCGGTATGTATGTCGAAGTAATTCATTTGTTATGCCTATGCTGTCTAGACCGCATAAATTTTGTTAGCTGCTTCGCTGGGTTTTCTCTGCTTATATTATCTAATATACATCAGTTAAGCGCGACCTTTCACTGATTATCGCAAGACACAATAAATTAAAAGACAATGAACGCCCATCACCATCTCCTTCCTATCTTTTATCCTCTTCACCCCCCACCTCCACCCTCTCTCTCAGCCACAGAATTCTGCTGCCCGCTACATTATGCTCATTCTCAAGCCAATTAAGCTTATTACATCATTTATGAAAAAAAAAAACTGAGATGCCACAGCAATCTTGTAGATTACCTGCACGAATGTTGAGCAACACAAAAATAAATAAATAAATAAATGATTAAAAGAAAAATATCTTTGCAGTTATTTAACATTAAATATAAAAGCAATTTTAAATAGAGATTTTATCTACATTATTTTTAAAATGCTATTTCTACATTGCTGCTGCATTAAAACTGAAAAATATCGGATTTTTATTATATTATTATTAAAAAGTTCGACAATAGAATTGCTTTTGGTATATTCTGCAATGCGTTGCAATGACAAAGCTATTTTGCTATTACAGAAACCAGAAAAATATCAAAAGTATCGAATGCTACCAGTGAGTTTCACCAATGATTTGCCTCTCAGTGCATTTGGGAACCATTGTTGGGCCTTGGGATTTGAGTGACCAACAGAAGCAGCAACAGCAGCACAAAAGTAAAGGCAAACAATTAAGAAGGCCTAAAAGCCTCACGAGCTACCGCAATTTTTAGACAAAAGCCACACCCCCATTTACGCCACACCCAGGCAACTAACTAATGTCCAATCAATTGGGGAGGGGGTGCTATGGTGTAGTTAGTGAGCAGTGTGGGGGGGTTGGGTGCTTGGGTGAAGCGTGTCTATTCTACATAATATGGGCAACAGGAACAATGCCATCAACTGCAAGAAAATGAATGCGAAGGAGTTTGCCATGCGTGCTGACAACATAAATGCGAATAATGTTGAAAATATACATTTTTCATGTTTGCTAATGTGTGTGCGTCTCTCTGACTGTCTCTCTGTCTGTCTGTCTGTCTGTGTGTGTGTGTGTTTGTGTGCTTGTGTGTTTGTGTGCTTGTGTGTTTATGTGTCTGTAGGTGTGCGATTTTTCGGGGGGAAAACAAGCGAAAAGACGCGACAGTGAAATCCTATTAAGAAGTTTGCTATCGCAAATTAAAATCTAAATACGCCAACCAAATGACGGCAATGTCTGAGCCCCGCAACGGGGGCGGGACGGAGAGCAGAACAAAAGGCGTTACACTACTCCTCCCTTCCACCCATCTCCCAAAATCAGCAGCTGCTGTCACTGCCACGCCCACACAGTGTCGTCGCCTGCTTATATTTTGAGTTATAAGCAAGCGCAAAAATTTAATAAAGGTTGTCCCAAAATATGCATGCCAAGGCGGCAACAAGACAGAGTGAAGACGCAGGAGGGGTGGGAGGGGGGCTGAAGGTATGGCAAGATTGACGAGGACGAGTACGAGGACGGCGAGGACACGGCTGCAGACTATGACAATGTCAAAGAGTTTGTGCACGCAAGGTGGGCGTGGCAGCTGTGGCCCTGGCCCTTCACCAAACGAACAACAACAACAAACATGACGAAGACGACGGCAAAGTTTTCACTTTTATTTTGTGTACCCTGTCCCTAAAACAAGTAAAGAAAGTTTTGCAAGTGTTTGCCACAGCCATGAAACATTCATATATATATATATATATATATATATATATAAAATATTCGTGTATATATACATTCTTGATCCGAAAGACTAGGAATCGAAATATAAGGAATGTAATGTTTTTTTCGCCGTGAAGAGAATTCCATACAAATTTAACAAACAATTTCTTTGGAATAATTTCAATTCTATTCTATTTCAATTGTTTTTTGTTTGATGACGTCTTTTTA